TATATCATAGGTTTCAGAAATATTGTTTATAAGGACAATGAAATTATATGGTTATTGATTTGGGCAATGGATGCATTGGGGGAAAGAAAAGTTTTAAGTTATTCACCATTCAAAACGAAGTGTGAAAGTCAGTGAGCCTCCTTTGAAACTTTTAAAAAGATTCTTAGCTCCTGCAGCCAGAGGGCAGAAAAAGCTGAGGATTGGGCTTGTAAGAGTAAGAAAGCTCCAAAGGCTACTGTAGGGACCCTACATGTGAAGCAGTGGGATAATGGACTTGAAATGAGGATATCATGTTGATGCACAAAAGCATCTTGAATCTCCAGACTCTCCAGAGCTTTTTAGACCTGAATAAGTGACCCACCTTCCCTGTTCAAGGACAGTACTCTTCCCTTGTCTGAAAATTAAGCATAGGTGTGTTTGCAGCACAATCTGTCTGCCACTCAGGATCTACCTCCCATTATGTCTTTTAAGGTAATACAGTAGGCCCCTCTTATCCACGGGGGAGATGTTCCAAGACCCTCAGTGGATGCCTGAAACCACATATAGTACCAAACCTTACATACGCTAAGTTTTTTTCCTAAACATATACCTATGATAAAATTTGATTTATAAATTAGGCACAGTGAGAGATTAAAAACAATAATAATAAAATAGAACAATTATAAGAATACACTAGCATCACTACCCCACTCTGCTTTGGGGCCATTATTAAGTAAAACAAGGGTTATTTGAACACAAGCACCAGGATATTGCCACAGTCGGTCTTATAACCAAGAGGGCCACTAAGTGACCACCAGGTGGGCAGCATACAAATTGTGACTATGCCAGACAAAGGGACGATTTGAGTGCTGAATGGAACAAAAAGAAACAAAGTAAGATCTCATTATGCTACTCAGAATGGTGTACACCTTAGTTAAAACTTATAAATTATTTATTTCTGGAAGTTTCTATTTAATATTTTGGGAGTCCAGGTAACTGTAACCCCAGAAAGCGAAACCATGAGGTAAGTGGGACTACTGGAACTGGAACTGAGCCTCAACAGAAGTCAGTCAGGGAAGGGCTGCAGTCTGCTAACGGAGGAAAGAATCTCTGTTTCAAAGGCAGGACAGGACGTACTCAGCATATACCAACAGACGGCAGGACAGGACGTACTCAGCATATACCAACAGACGGCAGGACAGGACGTACAAAACCGGGTTCTGAGGATGCTGGGTTAAGGAGGGTAGAATATAAAATTAGACTAGGAAGGGTTTATTAATATGGGAACACTCAACCACCACATAGGACTTAACGCCCTGGAAATGGAACTCATGTGTGGCTAAGATAGCTCTTGGCAGTTTGTTGAAAGCTATGGCCCAGGCCAAGTGAAATATATTTACCAGGGTGTTCTGGCAGAGGAAGAAGAAGAAGAAATAGAAAAGTTGAGAGTAATGGTCACGTACAGTGCATACATTTCATAAGGCTAGATGATAAGGAATGTGCAGGTGAGAGGAGAACCAGTACCACTGAGAAGTTCAGTAATAGCTGTCCTCTATAGGCCAGGACCAATGATAGGAGATGCTTCTATAGAACTGTCCTTCCTGATCACAGTGGAGATGATAGGAGCTGAAATAATAACAGAAGCAGCATGGTGGGAGCAATTATTGCAATGAGCACTAAGATCGAAGTGGAAGCTGAGAGCACATATTATAGTTATTAAAATGTTTGTTTTTTTATCTTTTTCAAGTGGATGAAGTAGGCACAGGTCTGGAAACTGAGCAAGGCATGAACCAAGGAGGGTGACAATGCACTATTAAAAATTCAGCCAGTCCTAATTGTGGCTGCTATATCACATATGTTATCTTTGCTAGGGAAGATTAATAAAGCTTCAGATACATTCTATAATATACAGCCACTAATCTGGTGAATGCATTTTTTTTCTAATCCTATTAGAAAGACCAGCAACAGTTCATGTTCATTTGACACACGGAATGGCATTTACCTGTATTCTTGTCCTTAGGGCTATGTTAACTCTCCCATTTCCTGTCTAAAGGACTTGGACCATGGATACTCTGAAGAAAATGGCATTGGTCTACTATATCAATGATGTCATGTTAGTTAGACTGAATGGATTAAGAAGTGGTGAGTGTGTTGGAGATCTTGGTGGGACACATGCACTCCAGGGGGTTAGAGATGAACCTAATGAAAATTCAGAAATCTACTATATCAGTGAAGATCTTGAGGTACAGTGACTTGGGACACACCAGAACTTCCCATCCAATGTAAAAAACAAAGTATTGCATTGCACTCCTCCTGCTAAGAAGAAAAAAGTAAATCTCTAGCAGCCCTCTTTGGTTTGTACAGGCAGCATACTTCATAACTAGGAATATTGTTCCAATTCAAATGCTGGGAAACACAAAAGTTGAAAGCTTTTAATAAAGCCAGAGCAGAAATGCTTCTGTAGAAGGCACAAGTTGTGATGCAAGTGATGCTGCTCTGCTCACTGGGCCACATGCCAGAAGATCCTATGGGATGAGAGGTATCTGTGAAGAGCAAAGATGCCGTGTGACTTTTATAGCAGTCCTAATAGAAATGTCACTACATGGATACCTGGGGATCTGGAACAAAGACATGCTATTTGCAAATGAGAATTACATAATTCTTAAATATTCGTTCCTGACTTGCTACTAGACTATAGTTACAAAGCACCTGACCATGGGATGTCAAGTGACCATGAAGCTAGAACTGCTCATTACAAACTAGGCTCTTCCAGACTCATCAAGTCAGAAGTTTGGGTGGATAGGGCAGCAATTCATCAAAAGCTGAAAGCAAGACAATGAGGACTATGATGAGCAGAGCCAGAGGCCACAAGAAAGCTATAGAATTTTTTAGAGTCCATAGTAAATAGTTCAATCAGTTTTGAGATCATATACATCCTAACCTGGAGTAATGTACAGAATTATGTTTCTTGTAAATAATACTGTATTATTTATTTGAAATGTGCTAAGAAACATCTTAGCATCTCACCAAAATAACATTTCAGAAGTAACTATGTGAAATGCTGGATATGTTAACTAACTTGATTGTGGTAATTATTGTGGCAGCCTCGACCTCCCGGGCTCAAGCAATCCTCCTACCTTAGCCCCCCAAGTAACTGGGACTACAGACATGCACCACCATGCCCGGCTAATTTTTTTGTTTTGTTTTGTAAAGACAAGGTTTTGCCATGTTTCCCGGGCTGATTTTGAACTCCTAAGCTCAAGCAATCAGCCCGCCTTGGCCTTCCAATGTGTTAGGATTACAGGCATGAGCCACCACGCCTAGCAAGAATAGTCTCTATTGAACACTGTAGTCCGATGTGCATATTTCTCTACTTCGGTACTCATCAGTCCTTCAGCTGTTGGAAATTACCCTCCGATAAAGACACCCAAGACCATGCCTCCTCTCCAGGACCACTCCTTATCCAATGACCAGTAGATGCTGGAACATTAAGAACCAGACCCCTAGCCATGATTTGAGACAACTCTAAAGGCCTTCCCAGCTCTCGAGCTCTCCCTAAGGCAGGCTGAGGTTTTTGTTGTGACTGCATCATAGGTCAATTTCCTTCACTTCCACAGGTTTTGATTACAAAAACAACCGCCAATAAACTTCATGCCTATAAGTCTCCATTTCTCAGTCTCTTCTTCAGGAACAGCTGCCTACACCACAAAATTAGTTATTATGATTATTACTATGATTTTTACTATGCACTTAGCATATTGATTTAATTCCACTTCCCCCAAACAAAACTGTAAGGTTGCTATTAAAGTAAACCCCTCACAGTCAAGGAAATTGAGACTTAGTGACGTTAAATACCTACCTATTGTCACACAGGCTGTAACTGGTGGAGACAGGATTTGAGCGAGGTCAGCCAATTTCTCAAGCCTATGAAGTTTTATAAGTGGTCAAGTATTGCTATCAGAAGCAACAGCATGAACAAAGATATATATCTTTGAGCTTGAGGGAATGAGAAAAGTTAGGGAGAGATAAGTCTTAGAAAGACAGAAGAGTTCAAATTGGAATAAACCATGAATGCCACAGCCAAAATGGATTTATCCAAAAATTGAACCAGTTCTGTAGAATTCTCCATTATTCTCATCCCAAAGAAGGAAAAATAGTATGGCTTATTATCAGGGATAAAACTAATAGAAAAGCTACATTTGCACCCTTAATTCTGTTATAGCTTTACCAGGTGTGAGAAATGGCATGGATAGAAGGAGAAGTGGATGGCGATAGCACAGAAAGAAATCCAAAACCCTCCTTCTCAGGGATTATGGGGTGAAGGTGCCAGTCGTGGAATGCTGCACTCTTATTCTCCTGTGTTTATTCAGCCCTGGGGCTGAGGTTTGCCTTGGAGTTGTAACCTTTATAACGGGTTTGCTTAATGACAGAATTATTCAACTGCATATCTCACCCCAATTAGAAAAAGGCTGTTTGGATTCTAATTGACCTTGACACAAGTCTGCTTAAAGAGATTCCCCAAGAATTATAGAGCTACTTTCAGAGTTTGACTTGGCCAGGAATATGAAATGTAACACGGTTTTTCAAATTTTCTGCACTTACTATGAAACGACCAAGCCACAGGTATCAAACATGCTTTGTTTTTGTGTTATAATCACATTACAAATTGAACATTTCCACATGTGCAAGTTGGCAAATCTGAAATGAATGATTATGAAGATTGTAATTACATATATCAGGTATATATGGCCAACATATTTTCACTCACACAAAAGTGTATTTTCCCTAGTCCCTAGACATCCACGTATAGTGTGTTTATAGGATGTAAAACCATCATCCTATATATAAACCAAAAATGTGTATTTTTAAATAGTTATTACCAGGTCAGGTGATAAGTCAACATAATATTTGGAAGGTGCAAATACCAGGAAGGGATAGAGATTCCTAAGCTAACCATGAGGAAATGAGTAACAATAATAGGTTGAAATTAAGAAGAACATAATTTAGACTGAATATCAGGAGGAGAAAAAATAAGCTTCCTGGCTACAATAACTGTTAGGACCTGAAATAATTCTTAAGGGAAGTAGAGCTCTCTTCCTTACTCAGGACTTTGGAAATGAGGCATGCATTCTTGGAGTCCCTTCTAACAAGCAGTTTTACTTGGGGAGAGGAAGGAGATCTTTTCCGTTTCTGTTTTTAGAGACTTGATATTAAGGGAAAAAAATCTCAAAAGTAATTATGTAATTGCCCTTTAAATATTCACTGAACCACCTTTGAGCATGATCCTGCATTTACCTTAGAGTGAGCATTATGTCTCCTGTGTTCCTTAATAGCCAAGAATAATCCATCCCATGGTCAAACAGTTTGCAGCAACCAGGAATTATTTTCAGCTTAATCCTGAAGACGACTTGGTGGTCTTTCACTCATCTCAGTACCTCTCCCAAGCACTGCAATGAAGAATTTTCTAAGAATTTCTGCTAACTGCATTAGTCAGGCATACTCTCATCCCTAGTTTGCAGAGAAATTGAGAGCCTAGATTATGAGCAACTATTAAATTCCCTCTCCACCTACGAATTGATCTCTGTTAATAGTTTCCCTCTCTCTCTCCTTTCAAAGGCCAAGGCCCTCTTCACAGATCTCTGCACTAGATCCTAACCCCTCTTATCTCCTGCAGGGAATTGCTCTATCAGCTGTTCCACTCTTTTCATGCCCTCAAATACTTTCTCTATCTTCCTACCTCTTTCTCTTTCAAGGAGGCATTTTACCCCAAGCATGTAAATATGCTTTTTCCCGTTCTTTTTCTGGGTAGGGGTGCTTCTCCAGTCAGTTCTGTAGAGGGTGGAGCACACTGCTGGTGGGCACACCTCAAGCCAAAGAGCGGCCATAAGGTGGGTGTTAGCAGGGAAAGATGTGTGGACAAAGTGTGGATCTGTAGTTGCAGTGGTCACACACACACGTGTATACAGAGCTCCTCATAATGTAAAGTTTACCGGAGTGGAAAGAAAAAGGGGGATCTCCTGTTGGACGCACAGGGCATTTAGACTGACCTCTCCAAACAATCGTATTCTAGAGCAGAGCTCAGGAATACAAGAGTTTGAAATTCAAGCCTGGTCTTCCAGGTGGTTATAAGATATATTGATCAAGTTAGCAATATAGAACACATTTAACACTTGGTTCTATTGGTTCCTAGTTTTGAAATGTTAGACATGTGATATGTTTGCCTCCATTCATATGGGCAAACTTTTGCCTTGGTCCCTGGAAATGCAACAGGTGGCCCTCCTGAAGCTACTGTAATCTGGCTTATTCACCTCTATCTTGCAACCCTTATTGTTAAGGTTATTGATAGTCTTTTTCTGGTTCTGTCCTTTTGACAGCTGACCAATCCCTCCTCAAAACTCTCCTCTCTCAGTATCACGTGACCATCCCAGTTTTCTCCCTTTTTCTCTGTAATTTCCTATGTGTCTTTCTTGGGTACTTATTATGTCATCAGTCATGAAAATAGAATTTCCCAGAATTCTGTTTTTGGAGATGACCACCACAGACCTCTCTCCTAGTGAAATCTTTCTAGATACTTTCTAGATCACAGTATCTGATCATATTCTGATACTGTGGAACTCTACAGTGGCTCCTCATGATGCCCTGCCATATAAATTCCCACTCTTCTCATGAATTGAGGGATATATGATCATCTGCTGTTTCTTTAGCCTCATCTGCTACTCCCTCTCCATATGCATCCAACTCCATTCAAACTGCAGCTCCCTGAGACCATTTTCTTGCCTGGGCTGTTACCCAGGGGTTTCTTTTGCCTGGAATATGCTTCCCTCCATTGTCTGTCTGGTAAACTATACACCATCCTTTGGGGTTCATCTTACCCATGTCTGCAAAGCCTCCTGAGACTTCCTTTGGTAGAATTTTGTGTGTATGTTCACAGATGGTTTCATGATAGTCAACAGAGTCTTCACACTTTCTCCTGTGTTGGGGAAAAGATTCATAAACTCCTCCACCCCTACCCCCACAGTGAGATGTAGTTCCTTCCAATGTATATGCTAACTTTTACAAGATTTTAATTGCAGCTTATAGACAATTCTGTTTTCCCCAATTTACCATGATATCATAAGAATTTTTCTATGTTATTTCATGGTAGTATATCATTATAATTTCTTTAAAATACACTACAAAATGTTTTTACCAGGAACATAATATGATCAGACCTGTGATTTGAAAAATAAATCTGTTAATGATGTTAAAGGGCTGATGTGCGAACAGACTGGAACCAGGAAACCAGAAAGAAGTCTGTCTGATCAGCCAAGCAAGAGATGAGGAGTAGCACATCATAGAGCCAGGGAGGAAAGAGGAGAAAAGGAAGACCCTGGAACAGATAGATACAAGATAACTTTGTGAGGAGGAACTGGCCAGCCTCAATGAGATTCCATGCAGCAGATAAGGTGGAGACAGGTGTCTTTATTAGATGATACTGTGAACCAAAATACAGAAGAAACATTATGGAAGGTAGTTTTCTGGAGAACAATGAATTGAGTTTGTGCATTAATATAACCATTTGGGGAGTCTTCATGCAGACAATAGTTGAATGATTGATATTTTAATAACTATGGAAAACGAGTTAGAGGAAATGTATAAAATGTATATATTGATGTCAATCTTAAGGACCGTCAGGTAAATTATAAAAAATTTAGATATTCTTAGGTTACGTATTAACTCCAGGAAAATAAGAGTTAATAAAACATAAAATGTAATGCATTTGTCATTTGTGAATAGCATTTATATAATCATATGCCAAATATATTTATCACAATTTTTAAACACTTAATTCTGAGCTATCCAGTAATTGTTATGTAACTATATTGGGAAGACAGGAGGAAGGTATGGAGGGATTGCATAGGACGACTAAATTTTTATTTTCCATAAGGGGAATCTGAAGAGTATCTAAACATGAAACCAATGAATAAATAGCAATATAAGAATGTTATTTATAAATGAGTAAACACATAAAAAGTTTGAAAATGAATGTACATTGAATAGGAAAAAGGAATAAAATAAGAAATCAATGAATTTTTAAAACATTTATTATAAGATATGTAAAAGAAGCTGACTTTTAAAACTTGATAGTAATTAAATAGCAGGCAGATTAAAGGTAAAATTCTATATTTGCTTGTATACATACGTATACATCAACATATTTTAAAGCACAGTTAGGAACATAAATCATAAGTGCCAGCTCAATCAATTATCATAAAATAAACACACCCATGTAACCATCACCCAAATTAAATGGAACATAATTAGCACGCGGAAATTCCAGCTTATGCTCTCTGCATCATTAGTCCTTCTCTCCTATGCAAGTGTAGCCACTGTTCTTACTACTGTTATCATAGATTAGCATTGCCTTTTGAAAACTTAAGTTGAATGACACAGTATGTATTCTTGGCACCTAAATTCTTTCACTTAAAATTGTGTTTGGGAAATTCATCCACGGTGTCACACATAGCTGTGGTCATTAATTTTTAATGCTGTACCATATTTTCCTATATATGAATACCACAATCATTTGTTTACTCATCTATTCTATTGCTGATGTATACTTAGATTGCTTACAGTTTACAGCCTCATGAATAAGGTTGCTGTGAATACCTTTGTACATTAATTATGGTGTATATATGTACACATTTCTGTTGAGTAGCTGTATCATATGGGATAACATATATTCAATTTTAATAGATAAGAATTAAACCACTTTCTAAAGAGGTTATACCAATTTATATGCCCACCAGCAAAGTGGGAGAGTTACCATCACTTCACATCTTACCAACACATGGTATTGTCAGTCTTAATCTTATAAGTCTAGTATGTGTGAAGCAGTATCTCGTTGAGGCTTTTTAATTGGTATTTCTTGATTTCTGATGATGTTGAATATTCAGATATCCTCTTGTGTGAAGTGTCTTTCTATGTATTTTGCCTATTTTTCTATTAAGGTATGAGTAAACCTAAAAGAAGAAAAGACTGATGAATTCAACTACAAAAATACACAATCTTCACGAAGTGAAAATATAAAATAACAAAAGATAAGCTAACACAATTATAATTAATATAATAATTAAAGGGTTTTTTTTTTTTCTGAGATGGAGTTTCGCTGTTGTTACCCAGACTGGAGTGCCATGGCACCATCTCGGCTCACCGCAACCTCCGCCTTCTGGGTTCAAGCAATTCTGCTTCAGCCTCCTGAGTAGCTGGGAATACAGGCGCGCACCACCATGCCCAGATAATTTTTGTATTTTTAGTAGAGATGGGGTTTCATCTTGTTGACCAGGATGGTCTTGATCTCTTGACCTCATGATCCACCCGTCTCAGCCTCCCAAAGTGCTGGGATTATAGGTGTGAGCCACCGCGCCCAGCCTTAGCTATTTTCTTAAGTAAAGACCTCCTTGGAAAACAAAACCATTCAACAGAAAAACAGGCAAAAGATAGAAAGAGGTAACTAAATATTTTTTAAACCCTAATGGTCTTAAAATATATGATAAGATTCAAAAAAACTCCCTCATAATGAAAACATGCACAATATTTTATCATCCTAGATTTCCAAAGATGCACAAAAAAAAAAAAAAAGAGAGAGAGAGAGAGAGAGAGAGAGAGAAAGGCTGGATTCTTTGGTGTGGGGAAACAAGCACCCTCCTATACAAGTGGTGGGAATGCAAACCAGTGACAACTCTTTAGAGGTGCATCTATTGCCCATAATCTTTGGCCCTGCAATTCTATGACTCTTTACCAAGATGTTAACTAAACTACTGTTCCCTATAGCAAAATATTAGAATCAACACAAATGTGACCGGTGGTAGGAGACTAGCCAATCAAATTATGATACAATGGAATATTGTGTACTTGAAAAAAGGGAAGTGGAGAAGGAGAAGAGAAGAAGAGAGTTTTATTTGAATTTATATGCAGTGATCTCAAGTAAATTAAATAAAAATTGAAAGTATATAGTATGCTACCACTTGTGAAATAAAAGGAGTAATATGCATACCTTCTAGAAAAATATCCAAGAATCTTATAATAGGATTTGCATATTTGAAGGGAAACCAAGTTGCCAACTGAGGAGAGAAAGCTTATTTTTTATTGTACTCTTTTAGAACTTTTGAATTTTTACCAGGCACAGATATTACCTGTTAAAAAGATAAATGAAACACTTAATAAAAAATAAAAAAGATCGGGAGGCTGAGGCAGGAGATTCATTTGAACCTGGGAGGCAGAGGTTACAGTGAGCCAAGATCGTGCCACTGCACTCCAGCCCGAGGGACTGAGCAAAACTATCTCCAAAAATAATAATAATAATAATAAATAAAAGGAAAAATATAATGAGGGAATACAGTGAAACTCAACTGATAATTTATTGCTACTATTTATTGAACATGAATTCACATGAAATTCTTCTTCATATGCAACCAATGTTTGTATTCTTCCCCAAAATTATTTGGTAGTTTTTGCTATCCCCATTTCACAGGTGAAGAAACTGAGGCTCAAGAGATATAATAACTTGCCTATGGTCATGTATTAGTTAATAACAGAGGTACATTCCTTACCTGGGTGTGACTGGCTCAAACCATGTGCATTTTGCACTGTGCTTCTTCTTGCTATGAGAAGTTTATCTCAGATAAATGGAGATTCTCTTTAAAGCTAACTTGTTCATACCACATCCCACTGGCCAACTGCTAATTCATCTGTCATTTCATTTGCCCTCTGCATTCCCTCTCCATCCTTTCATACTCACACAAACTCGTGTACATACAAAAATGACTGCTTGGAAAGCAACCACCTACCATGAAGTGACCCAGAACTTTGCACTGTTCCATGAATAATTGTAGGAAACCAACAAATAGTTTTCTTGTTCAAGACATATGTGAGTAATTGGTCAAAGTTAAGTGGCATCCATCCTATTCTGCATAGCTGGACTGTTCTTGCAACCCTCAACCCTTGCATTCCTCTGAAAAGTGTTTTGTTTATACAGGCAAAATTCTAAGCACATGGATATATCCTAAGCTGTCTTCATGATCAGAATCCAAATGTTCAAAAGACAAGGAGCAGGATAGAGTTAATAGAGAAAACTGGAATTGCTGGTTAATCAGTGGAAAAGTAAAATAGCATTCCTTGTCATCAGGATGAAGAGTGATTGAGTGCACGGCCTTTGGAGTCAAATATACCTGGGTGGGTTCCCAGCTCTTTTATTGACCTGCTGTGTAGTCTTGGGTAAGTTTCCTAACCTCTTTTGCTTCCGTTTTCTAGATGAGAAAATGGGAATGGCAATACCGTGTATCTCACAGGCAGGATTGTTGTGAAGAGTTAAAAAAAAAAAAAAAAGAAGTAGAAGAAAAGCATTATCCTCCGGGCTGGATGCATGGTAAGAATTCAGTGAATGATAACTATTATTTTAGATAATATTAGATTATGCTGCAGGCCAAACCATCAATTAGTTCTATAGTTCATATTGCAAATGGGACACTTTTTTGCGTCTTCAACAAGTTGTTCTCTGGGTATCTGGTCTCCCTGATTCTACTCTTTAACCCCACCTATCAGGAGGTCTGCAGATCTTTACACACTGTTCACTTTGCCTGCTCATTCACCCAGATCATTCATGGAGGACTTCTGCCCAACACTGAAGTCTCTACATGAATGTCACCTGCTCAGAGAAGCTTACACCAACCAAAATTCCATCTTGTTTTCTTCTATCTCCAGAGCCTAGAATGGTGCTAAAGATATCTGGTCTTTAAGAGATTATTGTGCTCCACTGCGTAATGTCATGAAACACTAAAATGTAGTCTTCCAAACATTCTTATTTTGTGCTACATGACCACCATCTTCAGAGCTTTTTTCCTCATTATCATAAAGCCAATGGTTTTCTATCATTTTCTTGATAAGGAAATTACAAATCAAAGAGTTGACTAATTTTTCCCAGTATATTTTAAGAAATGGGGAAAGAAAATTGTTCTCATGTTAATTTTTCTGAAATTTTTCATCACACATAAGGAAAAAAAGTCTCAAATTAGATCCAATATTTCTTTAACTTCTCTCTAACACTTTATAATATTCCCTTTTTAAATAAAGAACAAGTAGACCAGGAGCCCACAGTTAGGGAGGAAACAGTGTTGTATTAATCAGGATAGGTTAGGTTTTTCTGTGGGCAAAAGACACATCCAATGTCTCAGAGCCCAAACTGAACAAAAGTACATTTTTTATTTACAGTACATGCCCTATATGGGTTTGTACTCAGGATAAAAAGCAGATATCCACCACTGTCACTTAGAAACCAAGGCTGAGGCTCCACCATCTTAGAACTGTGTCATTTGAAACCTTCAGCTTTCTTCTTTGTCACGTTATAGGAAGAGAGAGAACTGTGCATTGTCATTTAAATTACTTGGACCAGGAATGTGAACTCTCACTTCACCTAATGGTCCATTAGACAGAACTAGTTACATGGATAATTGTAGGAAGCCAACAAATAGTTTTCTTGTTCAAGACATATGTGAGCAATTGGTCAAAGTTAAGTGGCATCCATCCTATTCTGCATAGCTGGACTGTTCTTGCAACCCTCAACCCTTGCATTCCTCTGAAAAGCGTTTGGTTTATACAGGCAAAATTCTAAGCACATGGATATATCCTAGGCTGTCTTCATGATCAGAATCCAAATGTTCAACAGACAATATATTATTATTTTAAGGGAAGACCATATGATTATCATATTCTCCCTAACAAGAATGTGTGTTTTTCAGTATGTAGTAACATCAACCGCAAGTACAGATGGTCCCCGACCTATGATGGCACTGCGTTACTGTGGTGCAAAAGCAATATGCACTCAGTAGAAACCGTACTTCCAATTCTGAGTTTTGATCTTTTCTCAGTCTAGGCCACAGCCACAAGTGTAAATACCTTATATGCTATATAGTGTACTGTGTTGCCAGATGAGTTTGTTCAGTTGTAGGATAATGTAAGTTTCCTGAACATGTTTAAGGGAGGCTACACTAAGCTATGACATTTGATAAGTTAGGTGGATTAAATGCATTCTCTATTTATGCTATTTTCCATTTGCTATGGGTTGATCAGGATGTAGCCCCATCATAAGTTAAGGAGCATCCGTATCTCACTAAAATCTAATAATATTGTAGTTTTTTTATTGTGCCTATTTCTAAGTTATATTTACAGCAAGTAGTTTTCTATTTACATGTTCTTCAAATAAAATTATCAAGTTATAAAAAATAAATCAAGACAAAAAATGTTAAATAAATAATGATACAAGGGGCTTAGATACAAGGCAAAAGTTGTGGTGCTATCTAAATCATTAAAATTTGGGGGTCACTGTTATCGCGTGAGATCACATAGCTTGTGTGTGGCAAAAAGGATAAGATTGCAGATCTCTTTGACTCTACATCTGTGCCTTTCCAATATCGCTGCTGCCTTTCTAAGAACTGTGGCACCCAGCAAAGTCTATGTGATAGTCCTAAATGAGAGCAATTCCACTTCTTCTAATTATTCTTTAACATCTTACATCTTTGGATGGTATTTTTGGAAAAATGAAATGATCCAGCAACTACTTTTTAGTTAGTTATACACAAAATTATTGGACTTAGAAGAATATGAACAGTAAACTTTAAATTTTAAATACATACAAGAACAATAAAGAAAATGCCACCAATTTACCCATTTAATAACAGTGGACACTAAATTAGTGATACTAACAGGGAGATGCTTTTTCGTAAAGCCTATGTTTCTCTGTAAAGACATTTGGAGGTAAACAATCTAAATCTTCAGGCTTTAGTCCATGTATTTTGCTCTGAAAAGGTTTACAAAGCCATAGGGCCAATTGAATCTTCCTACTCCCACTATCCTAATATTGAAAAGTGTCCACTGAGATTTCCAAATTATCCTTCTGTTATTCTTTATTCTGTCAAATTGAAGACCTTAGTCCTTACTTTCATCTTTAGAAAGTGAATCTTGATGAAAGAACTGGTCCTTGATAAAAACAAAGCAAAGCAAAGCAAAACAAAACAAAAACAAAAGCTATATTCTTTTCTCTCCACCTATGGCACCTTCTCCTGGCCCAGGAAAACAAAATGCTCAGATAGCTTCCAACATCCTCAGCTTCATACAGCCCAGTCTTACACCATCAGAGTGGGCCTCAAATCTGTCCCCTTACATCTATTTTCATCCTCTTTTGACCTCTTAAAAATAAATTTCCTCCCCTATCACAGAAAAAAGGATCAGATTCACTAAGGCTGATGGAAATTACTTAATGTGCCATCTGTCTTAGAATGATGTATTATTATTTTAAGGGAAGAGCATATGATTATCACAGACCAGGATGACTTCAATGGTAGCGATAAGGACATATCTTCCGACAAAGTCATGACACGAACTGGTCTCCTGTTAGCCTCATAAATGTTGCTTCTTTGGGAGATCTGATTCTTTCTTCTCTTGATTTATTTAACCTGATTTAAAGATACTGCTTCCTAAAATAAATGTTTGGAAGGAAACAAAACTTTGTATCCTGCAGGAACGTAATGGAGAAAAAGTCTTGAAAGTCAGCTTTGCCTTCTGAGATGTCAAATTAGGGCAGAATTTTTACGTAAGATGCTTTTAACACTTGTTTCTTGCTTATTGGGGCTCAGTACTGTTCAGCTGGTTATTTCTGTTCATCACTATTAGTTCAACACCATTTCTGACAAGTAGTTAGAGCCCCAAACAGGAATGAAATCGCTCTGAATCAACATGTGGGCAGTGGATACTACACTCTACTTTTACAATGCGGACAGTTATGTCTGTTGCCATTAAGACATCTATTCTCTAGTTTGTAACACATGAAAACAAGCTGAAATAGAGTTTAGCTTTTGCAACATAGAGCCAATTTGACCACATTTGTAGGTCCTCTAACCTCTGAACTTATTAAAGAAGCCTTTGACTCGACCTCCTTTGTTGGATTCCAGGGTTTTACCCCTCTCTGCTCATAACCCACTCCTCACTGTAGTGGCCTAGAAAAAAGAAACTTGGGTTTGGACTCCAAATCAGCTATATGATCTTGGACCTTAGACAAAACCACCATCCCTCTTTTGAGATCTCATTTCATTACCTGCAAACTGAGCAGGCTGGGCTCATCCCACTCTCACAGTGGATGACTAGAAGGCCCCTGTCACTCTCACATGCAAGATTCTTTTTGTTCTCTTTACCTAATTTGCTCTTTCCTTAACTAATTTAAAATAATTCATTTGGTTTGTTTTTATAATGTTTGTCTTATGAAAAAGCAACACGTGTTCTTTTAGATAATACAAAATCGAAGACAAGCAACAAGAATACAGCAAATGAAATTCATGCATAATCTTGCCAACCAGTAAAATGTTACAGTATATAGCTTCCAGATATTTGCAACCTGCTTCTTCAGTTAATAACATGTCGAGATTATCTGCTCATGTACTTAAACATGCAGACGACATAGTTTACTTCACTGAGTCTCTATCGCTGACTACTTTGTAGATAAAAATTTTTTATTATTATCAATGTTTTAATCAACATCCACATATGCAAATCTTAGTATGTAATGCTAACACGCTTTTTAGGATAAATTCCTAAACCGAAAACCTCTTTATCATGAGTTATGCTCATTAAAAGAAGTATATTTTAAATAAAACAAGAGTAATTCATTCTTATTGAAAACATTAAAATAATCAAAATATGTAATATAAAAAATTACCCAGTGCACTCCCTAGACATAACCCTGAATTATAGTTTGGTATATGTCCTTTTAGACAATTTATCTATTTATTCATTATTTAACAAAATTTATAGAATCGCCACAATATGCCATAAAATTTATAGAATGGTCACGGGAGAAACAGCATTGATCAAAGTAGATGTAGTTAATTCGTTCATGGAGCCTAAGACATTAGGAATAGAGTTATTAAACAATACACAAATACATATGTATACAATTACAAATTGTAATCTTTGCAATGAATGTGTGGCAAATTGTTTGATGAGAGATTATAACCCGTCTAGCTAATTTACACTAATAGGTGAGAGAAAGTGAGAAGATCTAAAGGAACGTTTCTCTGAAAGACTAACATGAAAGTTAAAATCTGAAGAATAAATTAACTTAGCCAAGTAGGAATATGGGGGATGATTGGAGGAGTGGGATTCTGGATTGATGGGGAGTTAGGAGGGCTCCAAGTTCGCACATATACTGTGTAAAGTCCTTGGAAGTAAAATTGAATTGGTGACTGAAAGTAATCCAGTAAATCTGAGAAAGGCACGTGGGGAGACACTAAACAGGTAGGCAAGATCTAGGTCTTGGGGTGCCCTGGAGGCCATGTCGACCTGATGGTATTCATTTGAAGAACAGTGGGGAGCTATTGGATGCTTTCTCCACTAACCTAGTATGTATGTCCAGTTTAGGCAGTTCTATGCCAGATGTAGCCTGTTGGTAACCAGCACCATTCCCCTATTCAACTGTACCTTAGGGGCCATGATGAGTTGAATCATTCCCCACACTCTCTTGCTAGCTGGTTTCCAGTGAGGTACCATGGAAGGCAGTCAAGGGAGGTGAGAAGGCAGAAGGAAGGGCAACTTTATCAGAAATAGTGACAGGTAAGTGAAGGCAATCAGTGGTTCCAGCAACCGAAATAAGGGCTTCATCCATGCCGCAGAACAGCAGCCACACTCCTGTAACTCCATGGGCAGTAGGGCCCTTACTTATTTCCTGGTCTCTGGTTTACATCTTTTTCTTCCTTTTGTTCTTCTAGTCCATCCAATGCTCTTGAATGCAACCCTCTGCATTAAATCTCTGTCTGCTTAAAATATTTAGAGTGGTTTCTGTTCTCCTTTCTAGACACTGACTTATTAAATGCTTTTGATTTAGACAAAAGCTTTAGTTTCTACCTGACCACGGTTTTGCATATACCCCCGAAGAAGTTGCAAATCTGTTTATGAATCAGTCTGCTTTAGTTCTGGGTGACTCTTGGCTACTTGCTACAATTTCACTGTGAGTCTGTGGAGTCATCAGTAAACGTAATAATTGAAGCACTTAAAAGCAAAACAAAAGAAGAATTCTTCAAGAATTCTCTAAGACAATTAGAGAACTGTAATCTTGTAGGATTATAGGTCCTTCTGGTACAGTTCTGTGTATGTGCTATCTATGTTATCCTGCTACCCTTGACATTAACAAATTCTGTGCCTGGCCCTGAAATTATTGGCTCTTATATATGTTAGTTTTCCAATGATAAAGGTTGTATGGACAGTTGTTGTTTTTGATATCCATAACTTATTCCCACTTATCTGTGAGGAGTCTTTCTATATGACTGTACAGGAACTAGTCTTCCCTGCCAGTATCTTCAGGGGGAATTAATGATGCTCTTGATGGCGTAGGAGCTCAAGCAGGGCCAATTTCTTACTCTATTTCTAAAATTTAAATCTAGACACAGAGGAAGCAAAAAAAGAAAGACTGAAAATGATGACAATCACATCTTGATGACCGCAGCCCGAGGCTACCTACTGGTTCTTGCTTTTGCCTGCTCACTGGTTCTGGGTTGTGTTTGAGGCCAGATTTTCCAGATTTCCCTTCAACTGTGTAAGCTGTTTTACATCCACCTGATAATTTGCTTCTCTCCTTGAACTGAACAGAATTAAATTCTTTGGATCAAAAGAACCATATAGACAGAGTGAAATTGTATTATTTTTCTTTGTCATTCGTGGTAAAGCATACATAACCGATTTATTTTATCATCCTTAAATGTTAAGCGTACAGTTCAATAGTAATCAGTACATTCACGATGTTGTGCAGGCAACCTCCAGGCCTCTATTCGTCTTGCAAAACTGAAATTCTATATTCATTTAGAACTTCCCATTCGCCACCTCCCCCAGGCCCTGGCAACCACCATTCCACTTTCTTTCCTATGAACTGACTACTCTAGGTGACTCATAAGTGCAAGCTTACATTATTTTTTATTTTGCTTTGTTTTTTGAGACAGAGTCTTGTTCTGTTGCCCAGGCTGGAGTGCAGTGGCACAACCTCAGCTCACTGCAACCTCCACTCTGGCGTTCAAGCTATTCTCCTGCCTCAGCCTCCTGAGTAGCTGGGATTACAGGTGTGCACCACCACACCCACTTAATTTTTGTATTTTTAGTAGAGATGGGGTTTCACCATATTAGTCAGACTGGTCTTGAACTCCTGACCGCAAGTGATCCATCTGCCTCAGTTTCCAAAGGACTGGGATTATAGGCAGGAGCCACCATGCCTGGTGGCAATCTTTGTCTTTTTGTGACTGGCTTATTTCACTTAGCATGATGTTCTCAAATTTTATCTGTGTTATAGCATGTGTCAGAATTTCCCTTATTTTTGAAGCTGAATAATATCCCATTGTATGTATGGGCCACAGGTTGTTTCTCCATTTATCCATTGACGGACACTTGGATTGCTTCCACCTTTTCACTATTGTGAATAATGCTACTAAGAACATGAAGTACAAGCATCTCGTAGAGACCCTGTTTCTAATTCTTTTGAGAGTCTACCCATAAGTGGAATCACAATTTTTTGAAGAACTGCTTTACTATTCTCTATAGTGGCCCCAAAATTTTACATTCCCACCAACAATACACAAAGGTTGCAATTTCCCCAGTGATTTTGAAAAAAATCTCACCAGTGATTTTGAAAAAAATATTCGGCATCCTACATTCTAATGGGTGTGAGGTGGTTCTCTCTTTTTTGAAATACACGTTGCACCAAGGACGGCCTCTTGTATTGACAAATGATTATGCAGAAGATAAGGAACAATTCAATACTAACCCAATTATCCTGGGGAATAGCTGGCCAGTTCACGAAAGTCTCTTCAGGGCTTCTGGGCCCAATCTGTTTGGTAAGTTTCTTTCATTCTTCCCACTTCTCTCTCCATTCCTTCCATTTGTTAACAGTTTCTTTAAACCTGGAGAGAACGAAATGAGTACACCTCTTAGCTGCACTTGCTTTCTCTCATGATGAGTCTGCTAATCATTTTCAAAAGACCTTAAGTCTTTCTGTGTTACTAAATTCAAAATGTAGGTTTTAGATTTTTCTTTTTAAAAAAAAGAATAATTAAAGAGGAAACTCAAGCCACCTCCTAGAAATTTGCAAACAAGATGACTAAAACTCTTACTAAGGAAACATTCAGAATCTTTCAAAGCACTAGTATTGTTGGTTTTGACTTGAGATAACCTGAATTTTGAAAGCTGGGAACCAGTCCTTGGCGCTCACCTTTCAAACCCTTCACAGCCAAGACTCAGACGCCTAAATGTCTCCTGGGCATATTTGCATCCTGACAGTCTCACTCTGGGGGTTAGAGAGGTGCACATTTCCTCACTTTTGGAATATTCCATTTTGGCTTTTCTTCAGCTGTGCCCAAACCAGGAAGTCTGAGACTCTCAGCTAAGTGCGGGCTAAGCAGCCAGCCCTCCTGGATTCCCAGGCAGTCAGCTGGGTTCCTCCAAGTAAGGTTCTTAAACTTTCTGGGCTTCAGTTTTCCTCATCTGTAAAACAGGAATAAGAATGCCAGCTTGTAGGCTATTGTGAAGTTAGTTGTGGTAATGGATATACACATTTCCAGCATGACATTAACATAACAGGCAGTTTAAAAATGAGTAAATCATTTTGCTTTATTCTTTACAGAAATTAATACTGGTAGATGGTCATTATCTAAAAGTGAAATTATAAATGTGCCTATTCTTTGAATGTATTTTCTTGCCTTTTCTTGAATTTTTTTGAGAGCCCTCAAAAATTATACTGAAAATAAAAATGTCAAGAGATCTAATATACACATGGTGACTATAATTAATAACAATATATTGTAGACTTGAAAATTGTTAAGAGGAAAGATTATACATGCTCTCCTCACACACATACAAAAAATGTGAGCTAATGCATATATTAATTAGCTTTTTTAGCCATTCCACAATGTACACATATATCAAAATATCATGTTATATACCACAAATATGCACAATTTTTATTTGTCAGTTAAAATAACTGGGCTGGGAGCACTGGCTCATGCTGAGGCAGGGGAACCACTGGAGGCCAGGAGTTTGAGACCAGCCTGGCCAACATAGTGAAAAAACGTCTGTACTCAAAATACAAAAAATATTAGCTTGTATGGTGGTGCGTGCCTGTAATCCCAGCTACTCCAGAGGCTGAGATGAGAGAATCCCTTATACCCGAGAGGCAGAGGTTGCAGTGAGCTGAGATTGTACCACTGTGCTCCAGCCTGGGTGACAGGTTGTCAAAAAAAAAGCGGGGGGAGGAAGAAGGAAGGAAGGAAGGAAGGGAGGGAGGGAGGGAGGGAGGGAGGGAGGGAGGGAGGAAGGAAGGAAGGAAGGAAGGAAGGAAGGAAGGAAGGAAGGAAGGAAGGAAGGAACTAAAGAAGAAAGACAATTCTGGGCATCTCATATTTTTTAAAAGTTCAGCTTGTGTTATTTTTTAAACCTACATTTTTTTAAGAAATATCTAACTTTTCCCTAAACTTCCATATCCAGTTTTTCTAAGTTTAGATTTCTGTTGTATCATAAATTCTTCCTCTTTAGTGTGTATACACACAATTTTCTATTCCTTTAACTGTTACCATGAACATTATAAAATGCTTTGTATTTATAGAATTTTACCAAATATTTTCAAAAATTTGTTTTCGTTGTTGACATTGACAGAAACCAAATGATTAGCAGGCACAGCAGTTATTAGTGTTGTTGTTTTATAGGTAGAATGTGATATATATGACTTTCCCAAGACCTTGAATTCAGTAAAGTGGCAGAGCCAGAACTCAGACCCAGGTCTTCAGTTTCTAATCCCAAGATTGTCTCCACTATATCTCACTGTCCCCCTCCAGGGCCATGTGGTGAAGGACTACTGGCTAAATAGAGGGAGGAAACAAGCAGAAATGCAAGGCTTGAATGCCTTTTTGGAATCCAGAGGAACCAAGTGTTAGCAAACAACTGAAAGGTCATGGCCAAAGCCTAACAAGAAGCCAGTTGCATCGGGATACTTGAATTGCTCCATGTATGTATGTATATATATGATATTATTATATATAGGAGATATTATATATATATAAATGAAGACAGGGTCTTGCTCTGTCATCCAGGCTGAAGTGCAGTGGTGCATTCCTGCAGCTTCGACCTCCCAGCCTCGAGTGATCCTTCTACCTCTCAGCCTCTCTCTCTGAAGTAGCAGGAACTACAGGTCTGCACCACCACTCCTGGATAATTTTTGTATTTTTTATAGAGACAGGGCTTGGCCATGTTGCCCAGGCTGGTCTGGAACTTCGGGGCTCAAGTGATCCTCCTGCCTCAGCTTCCCACAGTACTGGGATTACAGGCATGAGCCACCACACCCAGCCTGCTATATTCTTTAAAACACTGAAAAATGCACTGCATATTTCAGATTTCTCTTCTCAGATATGCCATTCTTATGTCACAAGTACTAAATTCTTATTTGCCTTACTTTATGGATTTCTAGTTTAAATATATTTTTGAAATACTTCCTGTGCATGCTTTCTGTAAAAGAAAATTAATAAACATGCCATATATTTTACATTCTTATTCTACCCACATTTTGAAAGGATGCAAGGAGATTCTCTATGTATCTGATATCATGGCTAAGAGTGAATAAACAAATGAATGAAAAAATTGGTCTGGATCTATTTCTACATGTCATACTAATTTATTCAGGCCTTGTTAAACCTCTACAATCAGCCAAAATTGGAATAAGTCTATTAGAAAACAATTTGGTATTATGCTTAAAGAGCAAAATAATAATAATAATAATTGCTTCCCTAGCAGAGAATTTATCTTATGGAAGCACTACTACTCACAATCCAACTCTATATGTACATATATAAACATACAGAAACAATTATGTGCTTCAAAATTAAAATATAATTGCTGACAAGCAAATAGCAGAAAAATCTTCAACAAAATTAAAGTGGTGGAGGAAATTATAGTAGATCAAATTATGGAATATTGGGAAACTGCTACATTATTATTTTGAAGGATTTGTAGCAGTATGCAGTGATTCTTTTTTTTTTTCTTTGCCATGAGCAAAGAAAGAAAAAACAAATCATGTTTAGACTCTGGTTATAACAATGAACAAAGGATATTTTGCATATGGACAAAAACTTAAAAGGAGCATAGAAAAGTCAAAGGTTTCCCCCCCTTTGTGAATCATTTGACACATAATGAAATACAAAAATAAGAATCTGAGTTCCTTTTGGCATACAATCTGCAGAAAACCTGTAAGTCCCTCTTTGTCCTGATTTAAGTGGATACTGTGAACATGAAGCGATACCAGGACTGGGCAGCGGCACTTAAGCCCCAACTGCAAAACATGCGGAAAGTTCTGAACGATGAGAAGACTCACTATTGCCCAAGAACTATCACTTAGGCTATCTCAAAACAAAACAAATATGCTCTGGATTTCACATATCTGTTAGGACATCAAGATCCCAGCCATCATATATTTAAATCATTGGATCCCAAAGGGAAAGGAAAATTGCATGAAGGGAAAATACCACACAGTGGGGAAAAATACTCCTTTTTGTAAGTCTTTATTTTTTAGTTGCTCCTCCCATAGTAATGCACTGAAAGGCATAACAGTTTATATTGTACAAAGCATTTGAAGAAAGTACCTCAACTTGCCGATTATTTCAAAATGAGATTACAAACAAAAAGAAAAAAAATCTGGTTCCTCAATAAAGGGGAAAAATAACTGAATACAGTCTGTTATTTCCTTCTCTCTTTTAACATAAAGTTGGGAACACTTCATTTTACAAATAGGATTAACATGAACATAACATCGCACAAGCTTGCAGACAACCAGCATAAAATATGGAGTACAGCTTTTAATCAGAAGAATCATGCTTCCATGAAAGAAATTATAATCGTTTATACAATTGAATCGATTTCAGTATTACAAAAACTAAGTTGCATCTATTCGTATTTAGTTCATTAAGAAGGAAAACAAAACAACAACAAAGAAAGGAATGTTAAGAAAAGCCAAACACCATTTGGCACTCTCATACACAGGTCGGGTCACCTTGGTCCTTGAAATTCAGAAAGGGGTGTGCCTCAGACGTCATAAAGTAGTGGCTGACTGGAACAGTGCTATTTTAATCAACAAACAATAGTTTGCCAACAAATAAATACATGATACACGCAACACACACAAAAAAATAAACATTAAAAAACAGCGACATGATTGTCTAAAATTAAGATGTTATTACAAGGATTTGCCAAACAATTTATTAGTGGTACAGCGGTACTGGTGATGAACAGGTTACTTCACTGACTTAACCTCTTTGAGTGTGAACATCCATAGTTTACAATATACACATACCCTTTTTCCCTAGTTTTCAACAATGTACTTAGGAAGGCAAAAGGGGGAACAAGAACTCCCTGTTATCAGTTTCTATAACAATTGACTGTGCATTTCATCCAACTACTTCTGTCTTCAAAGGGTTAAATTACATAAAACTTTAACGAAGAAAAAAATTAAATCTGTAATTAAAAGCAACTGTTCCCAATCATGTCAGGTGATCTTGTACAAAAAAAAAAGAATTCAGTTTCTATGGAGTGTTCATTCGTATCAACGCTGCCATCTCAACTGCCCCTCTCACCCACCCATACCCTAAGGTGGGGTAAACTGGAAGATGCCTTCAGCCCAGCAAGTTTTTTATTTTCATTGAATCACTGTAAGTCGCACTGATTGATCTTCCAGAAGTCAGCAGCTGCCTTTGCTGTGCAAAACAAAATATCGAGAATAAATAGTTTCTTTTTTCTTTCTTTTTTAAATCATTCAGTTTAAGGTCACTAGACTTTAGATGAGTGACCCTGCAGGTTTATAAGGCATTCTGCTCAGCAGTCTTGTAAATAGTCCTATATGAAAGAGCCATGCTACTGTTGGACTTGGTCCCACTGTGGTCAACCTTGGTAACGTCATACGTGGCTTATGGACTGGATAGCACTGGATTCCGCCGCAGCTCTGGCCATACTGTGCCACACGTTGGAAGAACTGTGGGATGTAGAATGGAGGGACTCCTTGTCAGACAATGACAGCATCATAGCATATGCCTGGGGTAAAAAGGAAAGAGACTCAGTAAATGGCATTTGAAAATCATCCCTTTTGGTTCAAAGAATATTGGTGGCAAATGGAAAGGGATGGGACCCTGAGTAGGGGTATCCTTCGTGGGTGTGTTTGGCAAAGGAGGCATAGCATATTTTTTTGTAGAAATGACATGGGATTACTGTTGGCCTTTAGTGCCTAGAGGCCCCAAAAGTGACATACCCTCCCAAACAAAAAATTAACTATCCTATCTAAAATGCAAATAGTGTGCCTCCATTGAGAAAAATGAGTAATTCTCCTGTCCAACCATAAATACAGCCATCCATCTACTACATATGTTCAATTCATCAAAAATATTATTGTGTGCTTATGACTGAACTGCAAATATTAATAGGATATAGACCTACCTTGACAGAGCTGTGGCCTCGTAGATGATACAGCCTGACTCCTACACTTTATAACCAAAAGCACTGAAGTCGCTTGAGTGACTTGCCCAAAGTCACTCAATTAGATAGTGGGCGAAGCATAACTAAAGTGTATTTCTGCCCAACTTTTAATCCAGTGTCTTTTCTCCAATTTCCCTTAATGCTTGACATGCTCAGTGCTGATACCCAAAGTTAAGGTGGATCAAATCAGCTCTACCAAAAAAATAAAACAAAACACAAGACCCAACAAATGTTTTAATCAACTTATTTTCTAGTGTCTGCTGAGCAGAAGGTGCATAGAGGTGCTCTGTGAGGAACTGCTCTTTCTTCCCTATTATCATGTCAAATTTTAAATAACTGTTCAGAGAATCCCCCATTTACTGCCAAGCAAAATATTCAAATGAAATGTTTGGTCTTGACTTGTGCGTGAACTTTTCACTGTTGATTTGCTATTGTTGGTCTCATCCATTGCTAAACTTGCTTGTCAAAATGCTGCTGAAGTGGAATCATTAAAGTCCTGCCAAAGACATTCCACTGTCTGTAAACAAAGACAAAATGCCTCTGTTGTTAGGCAGAATTTCATCTCTGGGAGTCATGCTGAGACATGTGGCCAGTCTGTGGTTTCTTCGTAATCACTGCATTCAGTTAGAAAATCTGCCCTTGCAGGCTGATTTTGATTTGCTGGGTCATCGCTCTAAATGTACACATTTGACTTTTGTGTATGGAGTTTGCCTTTTGGACCTCTACAATATCCCACGATCCATTTAACAAATATTTCTTAAGCATCTACTCTGTGCCAGGCTCTGTGTTAGATCCTGAGGAATTAAAAATAAATAATATAGAGTTCTTATCTTTGGCAGAGTTTAAAGTATGGGCTAAGTGAGCATTGAACCTAAATTATCGATTCTGATTATGTACCTACTTTTAGAGAACAAGATAAAGAATATTCTGAAAGAGTTAAAACAAATTCTGATGTTTGGGAAGAAGAAAGGGAGTACAGAGAAAATTGTGGAATTGCAAGTTTTAATCCTGGCTTTAAATCTGCTTCTACTCACCCAGCTGTGTGACCTTGAGCAAGTTGCTTAACCTTTTAAACTTTACTTTCCTCCTATAAAACAGAGGATAGTAATAACAGTACTCGCCTCCAAGAGTCGTGAAGGAATCACATGCACTAACTTACATAAAGTGTTTAGCTCAGTGTGCCTGACTCAGGTAATATGTAAATAGTACCTATTACCATTAAATTAATTTTTACAGGATAGAGTTTCTTGAGGAAGAGCCCGTGCAAAATGTAGCTACTACTGTACTGGTCAACTATTTTCAATTCAATCACTATAAAAATTACAGATAGAATAAATATATGAATGCTTTGACTAAAGCATCTGAGCCTTTAGATTCTAGAAAATGGCAAAACAGCATATCTGCCTTTTAATCAAGGAAATAAACATATTCATGTATTAGGATCAGTGCCTAGCATATAACTGGTAGTGAATGAATGAATGAATGAATGGCATTATGAAATAAAGTGAATTTGCAAAAAGGCCTGCCCATTTTCAAACTAATCTACGTAACATAATTAAGTAATCAGAAAAATATGAGATAGGATTGCAAACTGCTAGTATTTCTTATAATGGTAACAGCCCAGCTGGGCAGGGACTTTATGTTAAAATTCTGGTACTAAATTGTATTATAATTATATCCTTTACTTCTAGGTTTTCAGGCCATTTTGCTTTCTATCACTTCTGACAGTTTCTGGAGTTTTTAGGTATTATATCTTACAATGAATGAAAAGCATTTTTATGGACTAATTGAAAGAAACTTACAAAGAAAAAACCATGGCAATGGGTCACATCTATACAAATCCCAGTACTTTGGGAACCTGAAGTGGGAGGATTGCTTGAGCTCACGAATTTGAGACCAGCCTGGGCCACATAGTGAAACCCCATTTCTACACAGAATTGAAAAATTAGCCTGGCATGGTGGTGCCTATCTATAGTCCTGGGTATTCAGATGGCTGAGGCTGGAAGATCACTTGAGTCCAGCAAGTCAAGGCTGTAGTGAGCCATGATTGTGCCACTGCACTCCAGTCTTAGCAGCCGAGTGAGACCCTGTCTCACAAACAAAGAAACAAATAAGAACAAAAAACCAAAAGCCTAGCTACCCCAGTTATCTCTAATCAACAAGCATGGAAGAATGGGAAATCAAGGGTTTAAAAAAAAAGTGGTGGCCATCTCTTATGGATGCCTCTTAGTAAAAATGAGATGTCTACTCTAGTTAATCTTAAAAACTGAAAATTTCATTTTCATCCCCATTCAAAATAACTCACCCCTTTTACAATGAGGAAATGGTACCTATAGTCTTTAAGTGATGTTCTTAAGTTCATGGAGGTAGGTTTTAGGAGCAGAAACTGGCTACTTTGACTTCAGTTGAGAAAGAACGTTTATTTTGCCTATTACCATACATAATATCTCAGAACTTTTTACTAAATTGAATATTATTCAATGATTTGTATTATCCCATCGATGCAATCCACCTTCCTTGGGATAGTACTATATTTGCTGTTAAGACCAACCCAGAACATCTTACCCAAACCGAAAATCATTTACAAATGTACAAGCTAATATGGTCACATTGCATGTCAGGCCCCCTACAAATTGAACTAATGGATCAAGCAATTAGACCACAATGCCCAATAAATATGGTAATAGAAAGTTTCTTTACTTTTAATTGACCTGAATGAATAATCTGGTTGAGTATGGATGTTAAACAAAAAGTACTAACTTCCTTTATTTTGTAACAAGAACACTGAGGCTCTTTTAATCACTATGGATCCTTAAATGAATTTATAGTTAGATATCATAGTGCTGATACAATGTTGTAGAGCCTAATGAATTTGAGTACCATTCATTCACTTATTCATTCATTGAATTTAAAATTGACAGGTTGTATTTCCAAATCTGCCAATAAGTTGGTGTAGACCTTTGGCAACTCACTTCATTTCTGATCCTCATTTTACTATTAAATTACAATATGAGATGACTCGGTAATTAACCATACATAACAATTTACTAGACATAGATGGGTACACAAAAATAAAATTCACTTTTCAGAAAAATCTGAAAATACAATTACCCTGACAAAGCTACAGACATGGAAAATGATTCTGAAGTAATAAATAAATATTTGCAAACAAACGTTATAGACTAGCTGTACAGAAGGAAGGGAATTAGAAAGTCAAGGAAAGATGAGTGTAGAACAGATTTCGTCATAAAATTTCTGTGCAGAATGCAGCCAAATTAATTGCTTTCTTGGTTAATGGTTTTGGATTCAGTCATAAACACAGTAAAAAGATGAACATTTTTAGAAAAGCATCTGACCCCATTTGGACTGTAGAATATTTCGAAGATAGAATGCTTGCCTTTTGGTAACCTAAGAAAATGTACATTTCATGCATAATGTAACCATGATGCTGTACTACAGGAAATTCTGTACCTGTGATTTGGACTTTCTGTGTAATGGTTGCTTAAGTTCCTCTGGCACATGGGAAGTACTAAAAGAAGACAGCTCAGCTTCAGAATATTGATTATCTTCCATTTTCCTCATTTTGAGGCTATCTGTGAAGTGCCTTATATGATCTAGAGCAGAAAGTCCACTTTTATATTCTTCCTCTTTATACCTAAAATGAACCAATGAAAAACACAGAAGTTTTTTTTTCAGTTTGTTATCTAATCAAATCATTTTCATTTGAATCTATCCACACAACCAACAAACTTCATATTGTATCTGCAGGGTAATGTAGCATGCATCAATTATTGGGTTTTTTAAATTATTTACAAATATCATATCTTAAAAATATATTTCGGTTAAGATTTTTAGTAACTAAAGCCAAGCATATTTGAGATAAAGAGTTAAAATCAATGATACATTAGTAATGTACAGAGACAGAATTCACATATTCATAATTTCCATTTAAAGTAAAGCTAGTTATGGCACTATTTAGTCAATTTCCATCATGAAAATATAATAGTCCCATCAATTTAACTGCTGGGTTCTTTTCATTTAAAAAGTTATCATCTATATAGATCACATATATATGTCATGAAGTGAAACTTATCTCAATTATATTTAACTGATGATCATACCAGATTATTACATAAATTAGACAATGTCAAAATCTCTATTTGTGTTTTACAAATAGAGACTAACAATAAATGATTGTGTACTTATGTAATTTTCATTTTATCTCTCCCACCTCAGGTTACTCAGAGTTGCACAAAGCCTGATGCATTTATATGCTTTTGGATTGTGTTGATGACCACTTTATTTTCATCTGTTTAAAACTGATCCACTGAGTATGCCTACTTCAAATTTAACTTTTATGATTTATTACTCACAAATTGCTTATCACAGGAGGAGCTGCAACCGTATGTGGATGTACTCTTGCTTAGTTTCTAAAGTCACCCAAGGTACCCACCTCACTGGGGATGTCTTGCAACTCATCTCCAGGGTACTGGTGTCTTCATAGTCATCCTCAGGGTTTCCTTCATGTAAATTACTTGTCACTGGTTCCTTTCCTGTTTTTCCAGTAATATCATTATCCTCGTCCTCCTCATCTAACAACACCTCATCTTCAACTTCTTCATCATCCAGTAAGTCTGAATTGTGACTAGTCACCAAAGCCTTTTCATCCTTAAAGTGACTGCCATTCATTCTTTCAAAAGCATAAGAAAATTTAAATTAAAACAACAGCAACAACAATGTCCAATTGTTGGTTTCATTATTGAAACTCTGATTTGTTTCTTTATTATGCCTTCCCAACAACAGTTTAGATTTTCAACACTTACACAGGAAATTTTTGTTGTTTGTGCTCACTGTCAACCATGGAAAAATGATGTGATTTCACAAATGGGAAGATAAAGAAAAAAATAATTGTATGATTGCTCAGATTATAAATGAAGCCTCTGGCAGGCCAGAAAAACAATCACAGTCTCGTATTCCTTATCAGACTTTGCTGGATAATTTATATTGCTATATATATCACATTAAAAGGCACATAAATATGTTCTCTGCACAATTTACCTAATTGCCATTTAAGTACCCCCCATTTAAAATAACAGATTTCTGGGAAACTCAGATCACTCATGGGCAATAGCTTCAATACACATGCTAAAGTGAATCTTAAAGTTCAAAGACAATGTTAAGGTAGTTGCCAAGAAACAACTGATATTTACTGATGCTAGCAGACGTTTGTGGTATATTCCACCTGGCCACTCTACCTAAATTTGGAAGGAGTTGAGAGCTCACTTATTTGTACAATTTTCAAATTATTTTTTACAGTCAGAACGTGAAATAGTTCCTTCTGTTTCAGGAAAACACCAGGGTGAAAAAAGTTCATTTATCAATAGTGTACCCTCATCACCTTTTCACATAACAAAAATGAGTATAATTTAATATTCAGACATCCCAGGATTAAAAAATTAAATAAAATAATCTTGGATTTGATAAACACACATAGTAAAAATCCATTGGACCAGAAAAAGTTGTATCATTATTAAGCTTTTAATACAAACAATCTCTTAACCTTTTTTTTATCAAAGAATGGTGAAAACATCTTTTGTACAGACATAAGTTAGTTTCCAAATATACTGTCAACTTGCTTTCATGAGTGGATTAAAATTTTCATTTAAAAAAATGAAAGACAAGGTAAAAGAACAAAAGACTGTATGGGTGAAAATCAAAAGTAACAAAAGCCAACATAATGAAGAAAATCTATTTGTTAATTAAGCTTCCAAATGTGGCAATTTACAGGGAATAAATTATTTATCAAAAGTAGCCTGATAGGAGTTCAGGAGAAAAACTTAGATGACTCAACCTTCTTACTTCTTTGCTGTTTAGACATGTTGAAGCCAGATGTTGCAGCTATACAGGCTCACAAATTACCAATTAAAGGCTAGAAAATCTGAATGGGCATCTCAGAGCCCAAATGGTGTGTTTTGTTCAATAGCTCTTATTTGCATCTTGTAAATATCGTTATCAAAGTGTAAGGTTGTTACTGTTTCTTGCTTGTTCTTACTACTTTGTCCTTCTGATCATCTGCTTCCTCTCTCCCTTTCACAGACAGACAGATCTCACACACACACACACACACACGGACAAGGTAACGGAAAGATACATACAACTGCACACTGGTGTAGTTATCAGACTTCTCAGAGACTGGAAGGGTCTTTTTCTTGTTTTTCTTAGATACGCTTTTATACAAGTTGAAGAACAGAGTAGTCATATATTTTTATGTTATTTTAGTAAAAAATGTTTATTTGAAGCTTGCTTTAAAGAAATTAATTAATTTTGACTTTCAGTAACATCAAAAACAGAGGACACTAATCCAATAATACTTGTATGATGAAAAATAATGGAACTTTTAACTAATTTCATGTTATTTTATAATTTACAATGTAGCATCCTAATTTAATAAGTCACTGTATAGTTAATTATAGCTTACAGATAAGAAAAATTAACTCCAGTAGTTTTGGTGAAATAGTAGTTATTAACTTCACATGCAAGGTGAAGTGCTGGGTAAGCATTAAGTATTATTATTAACAGCATTAAAAGCTTTTTAAAAAATAAATTAAGCTTTTCATGCTCAATGTTGGTGATGACAAAAGGGAGCCAGTGCATCAGGTCACTAAAAATAAGGATGGTCATGTCCACTGAAACAAACAGACCAGAACTAAATGTATAGTCACTGAAGAAGACACAAAATAGCAATAGAATATTAAGAAGACTAAAAAGGTTTCCATGTAAAAGTTATTTGGGGGAAACTCCATGGGTATTTCATACATAAATGTATATATAATATGTGTAATATATGTATGCATATATATATAGAATTGCATATTATCTGCAATATATATATATAATTTATGATGTATAATAGTAACCTCTATTGATCAGTGATTCAACTGAATCTCTGCAATGGCTTTCTCTTCTACTTCTAAAGTTTTGTTAACAGATTCTATTTAGCTATCAAATAGCTAAATGCTGGTAAAATTATGGGCTCTGGAGCCAGACGGCTCAGGTTGAATCCCACTGATTTCTTATGTGACCTCTGACACAATGGTTTAAGCTTCAATGTCTCCATTCCATCACTGCTAAAACTACAGTGGCGATCTCACGGGTTATCATGAAAGTAAATTAATTAATACATGTAAAATGCGTGGAAGCACATGTGGTATTTAGTATGTACTAAATATATACCAGCATCGGTGACTGAAGGAATAGTAGTGCCACAAAAGTGAGCATAGCAAATATATTTGAAAACATGTTCACTTCAGTCATCACAGAGTTTAAAAAGTTAAAGAACAGCTTTACCTCTCTTCCACATTCCTGGGAGACTGGCCACCATGGTTGCTATTCCCAATGAAATTTCGAATTTCTGTGAAGTAAGCATCTTCTTTGTCATCCAGAATCGCACCTGTACTTTCCAGTTCAGAATGAGGCGACGATGTTGCTGTACCTGTGTAGAGCAGAAAGGCTTTTATGACAATGATTACTGTTTATCTAGTAACTTATTTGGAAACGCACTCCTTATGAAGTTGAGAACTGTTGTTTCTTAAAACATGCCCTATGAATATTAATAATGTTAACTTTAGGAGGTCAGTGCCTCCCCAATTTACCATAATACACATGCCCATGACAGTCCTTTGGGAATATATTGAACCATTGAAATTATGAAGTACAGTCTCACAAAGAAGTCGCTTCTCTCACTAGTTTTTCCTTACCTCTATTGTGACATGGTAACGTTTGTATTAATATAATGAGAATTTAGGGTGACACAAATTATAAACAAGTCTTAAATAGGTCCTGCCATAAGACACTGTATATGACGTCTTGGTTGCAGTCAATATGTTTTGTCCTGTTTTGTTTTCTGCTGCTGCTGTGCTAAAGCATAAAACAAAATACAGATTAAAGGCACACTGAAAACTCTACATCCTGGTTTTCCGGGCGAAGCTGTGGGTTGACTCAGAACACTCTAGTCCAGGGGCTGGTACAGTATTAAGAGGACAATAGGGCCGGGCGTGATGGCTCACGCCTGTAATCCCAGCACTTTGGGAGGCAAAGGTGGGCGGATCACCTGAGATCAGGAGTTTGAGACCAGCCTGGCCAACACAGCAAAACTCCGTCTCTGCTAAAAGTACAAAAGTTAGCCGGGCATGGTGGCAGGTGCCTGTAACCTCAGCTTCTCAGGAGGCTGAGGCAGGAGAATTGGTTGAACCTGGGAGGTTGCAGTAAGCCGAGATTGTGCCACTGCACTCCAGCCTGGGTGACAAGAGTGAGACTCCATCTCACAAAAGGATTTTTTTTTAAAAAAAAAGGACAATATTAGATCTGCTGATTACAGAATGATCTTCCACTTCCTCGCCCATGAAAGACGAGACTTACAAAACCTGTATCACAGGATTGGCATTAAGCTTACCTAAACTTAAACAACTATAAGTACTTTATATGTGGTTGAGCTTTACACTAACATTAGCTTCTGTTGTTTATCTTGCCCACAAAGTGTCTATAATTTAATAGTTCATCACAATAGTCTATATGACAAAAACAAGAGGTTAGAACACTCCCTCAGCTAAAAGAGGTTATAATCTAGGTCAACAAGTATTAACCTTGACGTGTTACATTTTTAACTTTTTTCCTTAAAATAACTTTGATAAGAAAATTATAGTTGTATGCTATAAGGGTGCACCCAGTTAGATGGGTGGCCAGTTTTGCATATTGGATTATACTTCTGTGCATACCTCAAATCCAATATTTTAATACTGCGATCATTAAATTGTTAACTTTGAAGAAGATGAATAGTATATACTTTTAAGTAGTAATCAGACAAGATCATAAACAGTGCGCTTTTATAGTAGAAGAAAGATTAATAAAAAATTCCTTAAATAAAGACTACTAGTCTGTATTAATCCAACTTTTTTCTATTCTTAAATCTTTTTTCCTGAACTCCATATCTCTTCTCCCCTACTCCCAAAGCATAACCTTCATTCTCTGAGACAAACTGTGACTGCACAGGTTGGCTCTGCACACATATGCCAGCTGGCAAATGTTAGTTCATGACTTATTATCTAACTATTAGAAGCCGAAGACTAGAAAACCTACAATCCCTTCTGCTAAATATGTGCTGGCAAAGTCCCAATTAAGAAAAAGCTAGTTTTACGGCAGTTACTTTTAACTTAATTTTATATAAGACTGTGTGACTAAAACAAAGCGTCACTATCATTTGCTATGAGTTGCTCTGATCACGTCGACAGTCTTAACCAAAATTACCAATAGAGGTTCTCTGAACTGCAGGCCTACTACAAAAGCAGCTACGCTTTCTAAATTAATATTCAGAAAGTGACATTCTGGGGTTGCCACTCTAAAAATTCTGCCATGCCCAGGGGCCACATTCTGTGCCAACAGGTGAAAAGACTGTCCCCTGCAATTTAGGGAATCTTGTTTCGTAAGTCTCCTGCGAGTTCAGGTCATTGTCCTCTTTGCTTAAAATTTCCCATTAACATCAATTCAGGAAGATAAAAACATGCTCCAAATAAGGCCACTGAATTATAAATTAATCAGTGATCACATTGTTCACATGATTCTAAAATCTCAACAAGAACTTGCTGGGTATTTTTACAGTAAGATTCGATTTTGGCGTCAAAAGTGGAAAAAACGAAGAAAGATCACATTATCTTATTATCTTTTACAGTTGAAAAAGAAATCATCTTTGCCTTGTAACACAATTTATTACATACCAGACATGTTCCCATTCTCATGTTTCTTTAGGTGTCTGTCTAAATTGGTTTGTTGACCAAAACACCTATCACATAAGTGACACTTAAATGGCTTCTCTTTATTGTGAATGTTTCGAACATGCCTCTGCAAGTTAGAAGATATACTAAATGATCTGTCACAGTATTTGCATCTGAAAAATAAGCAAAGAGAAAATATTTGCAAGCACATTAAAAGGTATCTCTCAAGACTAGCTAGCCAGGTATCAAAAATCATCACCACTCATTTTAAAGAAAACAACATTTTAAAGAAAAGGTACAGGGAGAATGCTATTCACACAGTTAAGATTTCAAGTCCAACAGAATTGCTTTGAAGACTTTTATGACTTTTTCAAAAACCATAATAAAACATTGGTGATTTGGTTGCTCCCAAATTCATTACAGTAATTAGTACCAGTACTTTAAGTAAACCTCATAAAATAAAGCACATCGAGGAACAGTAGTATTGTTTCATCACCTGCTTAGGACAATACTATTAAATTTTTTGTAAACGAACATAAAACATTCATACAGTTTTCAAATACAATAAAAATATCACCTTTTAATTGAAAATTATAATTCTTAGGAAATTGCTAATCCTAAAGAAAATTTCTTTATCAGTTTCAAAATAGCAATGAAAATTCTAGGTCTTTGAAACTAAGACAATGTGAATAACTTAGTGTGATACCAAAGAATCAGCTACCGTAATCTGTAGCGATTAGGACCCCCAAAAGCCTTTTCTCTATTAATCTTTAAACTATTACAAAAGAAAATAATAATGCCACTAAGTTCTCTTTTGGAATAAAAGCAAAAGTCCTTCATTTATCTCCCTATTTTCCCCTATTTTTCATTTCTCTTTTTCTGAAAGAGTCTGTAACGGTTTTAAACCAGGTTACTTTTTCATGAAAGCATGTATTATTAGTTGGTTAATTGTTTCTGTCTTCCATGTGATAAAAAAATCATAAAATATTTTTAAAGTTTCCTTTTAATCATAAAATGGAAATATAAAAATGTAAGACCCCTTTACCCCAGCTGTCATCGGTGAAGAAGAAAAGGGGTTTTATAATTGATAAGGTTATTGTCCTCTGTCATTTTCAGTGGCATGATCTTGGCTCACTGCAACCACTACCTCATGGGTTCAACCACTACCTCATGGGTTCTCCTGCCTCATTCTCCCGAGTAGCTGGGATTACAGGCATATGCCACCATGCCCGGCTAATTTTTGTATTTTTGTAGAGACAGAGTTTCACCATGTTGGTCAGGCTGGTCTTGAAATCTTGACCTCAAGTGATCCACCCACCTCAGCATCCCAAAGTGCTGGGATTACAGTCTTGAGACAAACGACTTTTAAATGAAAACATCAATCTTAGGAGACATACATTCGTAACTCATCCTTCCATGTGTGAAGGGCCCTCCTCCTCCCACTTCTGAATGCAGAGTTAGTGGTTCAAGTGCTCTAAAGCAGAAATCATCCCATTCCACTAGAGTTCTTGGGCTTCTGTGGCTGTCCTTACATGATGCCAGAAGTCTAGTCAGTTCAGTAGGAAAAATAATCTGTTCAACTAGTTACTTTGGCGTAGTATCAATAAACCAACACAAGTACTGATTTAATTTTTCCCTCTTAAAAAACTGTTCTGGCATCATAAGGTTCTTCAACTTTCCTCACTTACAATATTAATAAAAAATGTGTGAAACCCCACATTATGGTAGTGGTAATATTTTAGCCTCTGGTTTTTTTAATGCACATAAAGTTATGACTTTCTCTGCAATAACTGTTTACCTGCAAGGCCCATTGCAGTGAGAACTATGCTATGTTTAGCACAATTTATTCTGTGCTTAGCGAAATAACCTAGAAAACCCTGTTAGAGTAAACATACTCCCATGAAACACTTTTAAAAAGTTTTTCACCCAAAATACTTTCTACACAAATCATGAGGAAGAGAGATTATATTTCTGACATGCTTCTAATTTTCTGCTTGCATGCAAAGGGTCTTTTCTAAATCAAGTAAGCATCATCTTTTCAAGTCTAAACAGGCATGCTCTAACCAACGATCAGTTGCTACTTTCTATCTCTCCTCTGCTAAAGTCTTGGCCAGAAGAAGAATGTCCTAAATAAAAACTCGTTTCCTTCTACACTCAAATAAGAGCCCAAGTTTTAGAAATTCTTAAAATGAACACATACCACAGTCATGGGCAGTATAAGCCTTCCTAGTTATCAGACATAGATACGGAGGTCAGACGTGCCTCTGAGATCATGATATAAAATAAAAATGCTAAAGTGAGAGCTCTGGGCCTGGGTTTTAATCGTGGCTCTATTAGTACCAGACTTTGCAGAAAGCAATTAGCATCTGTAAATCTAAATTTTTTCATTCGTAAAATGGAGAGGCTGGGATAGGTGTGGTGGCTGACACCTGTAATCCCAGACTTTGGGAGGCCAACGTGAGTGGACCACCTGAGGTTGGGAGTTCAAGACCAGCCTGCCCAACATGGAAAAAGCCCATCTCTACTAAAAATACAAAAAGTTAGTTAGGCATGGTGACGCATGCCTGTAATCTCAGCTACTCAGGAGGCTGAGGCAGGAGAATCGCTTGAACCTGAGAGGTGGAGGTTGTGGTGAGCTGAGATTGCACCACCGCACTCCAACCTGGTCAACAAGACCAGGTCCATCTCAAAAAAAAAAAAAAGGGTGGGGGTGGGGGGGCTGATTCATCAAGGATATTGAACACAGAGATGAATAAGATATGGATTCTGCTGGGCATAGTGGCACCTGCCTATAATTGCTCCTCCTGCCAATAACCAGGAGGTGAGGCGGTAGAATTGCTTGAAGCTGGGAGTTCAGTACGAGCCTGAGCAACAGAGTGAGACTTAGTGTCTATTAAAAAAAAACAAAACAAAAACGTGGATTCTGCTGTCAAGAAGCTTGTGGTCTACTGGTATTCATCTTTCTGAAGAGATGATTTTCTACATAGGGACCATGTTTATGTTTAACTTTTACTACATAAAGTATTAAAACCTAATAAGACTTTCCAGAAGGCACTGGTCTTCTGGAAAGCCACAGGAAGCAGACCTAATTTGTGCATCATTTACATACCATTTTAATTAATTTCTTTATATCTTACTTTCTGAAATAGTTTTAGACTTACAGAAGAGTTGCAAAGACAGTACAAAAAGTTCCCATATACCCTTCACCTCGGTTCTCTCAATGTTAACATCTTACCTAACATTTATCAAAACTGGGAAACTAATACTGAAACAATCATATTAACTAAATACACACGTCATGTGAATATCACCAGTTTTCTCCAGCGTTCTTTTTCTGTCACAGGATCTGACCGAGGATCCCATGTTGCGTTTAGCTGTCATGTCTCCTTCCTTTTCCTACAGTCTCTGAAAGTTCCTCGGTCTTTCCTTGCCTTTAAATGCCCTGACACTTTTGAATAGTACCAATTGAGAATTTGATAGAATTTCCTTCAATTTGGGTTGGTCCAATATTTCCTCATTATTAGACTGAGGTTATAAATTTGGTGGAAAACATATCACAGAGGCAATATGCCTTCTCAGTGCCTCCCATCAAAGGAACATGATGCTGGCATGTCTACCTCTTGGCGTTGTTAACCCTGATCCTTTGGATAAGGTAGTATCTGCCAGGATTCTCCACTATAAGGTTACTACTTTTTCTCTTTGTAATTAACAAATAGTTTGCAGAAGATAGTTTGGGGCTATGCAAATATCCTGTTACTCCTTAAACCTTCACTAACTAAATTTTCATTTTTTAAATAAACTTTTCTTTTTCTGGAGATGGGGTCTCTCTATGCTGCCCAAGCTGGTCTTGAACTCCTAGTTTAGGTGGTCCTCCTGCCTCAGTCTCTCAAAGTGCTGGGATTGTAGGGATGAGCCACCACACCTGGCCTAAATAAACTTTCCTTTTGAGGAGAGTTTTAGATTTACAGAAAGGTTGCAAAGACAGTACATAGTACCCATTTTCCCCTATTGTTAATGTCTTCCGTGCACATTCATCACCACTATTCAACCAACAATGATACATTAATTAAACTATAAACTATACTTTATCTAGTTCACTACATTCACTTATTTTAACATTCAATTGATCTTGCCTGCAGCAATTATTACTGTGGTGTCCTAATTGTCATTTTGTTTTCCTCATTTTTTCTACACTGTTCATTGGAGTTCTCATGCAAGGAAAACAAAAACAGGTTCTTCAACTTTCCTCACTTACAGGGGCTGGACAAATAACTGTTTAAGATCTCCAGCTATAACAAAATTCTGATTTGTGGTTTAAAAATACATATATGTACAGTGATAGCACCATTATTGGGTAGGATAAAACCATTGAATTCAAGTACAAAGAGTAAAATGAACATGATAACATAGTTTCCAGTACTCTTGCCATACCAAAACATGAAAGTGGAAACCTTTCCTTCCACTTAAGCAAAATTTCTGGTAATAGAATTTTTTCAAAAGGAGAAATCACCTAAATCTTCCCATTATTATATTTCTGTGAGACCTGTGATATCAAGTGCATTCTATCATGTATAAAGTGGAAACATATAACTTATGATTAGTGATTGCAGGAAAGCAAGGAATCTGAGAAAACACTGATGTTCTAAGTTTAACTCCCTCCATCTTTCTCCTAAAATTTCAATTATCCTCAAATGGCCATGCGTCTACCCATTTTCTTATTTCACTGTTTAAAAAATTTTTTGAAATATGATAAATAATTTACTTTTTTATTTTAATGGAAAAAGTGTGCACTCAGGAAAAAAATAATTTTATATACAAATAATAAATAAGAATTTCAAAGGAGAATGACGTTATATTACTTAAGTTACATAATATTCATTTTTTGAAGAAATATTTGTGAGTACCTAATACTGTGTGCAAGGCATTGAACATTAAATAATGTAGGCTATATTTTAAAATTGGAAGGAGAAATGTTTATTTTCAATCTTTCATAAACAACATTAAAATTAGATATGTTCAATGTGTGATATGGCTGATCTGGGCATGTAACAGAATAAGCTAAGAGGTAATTTTAAAAATTACATATGTAAGAGGGTATTGCCTAAGACTACATTAAATTAGAAAGTTATCGATAAAATTACCCTTTTTTCTATAACATATTTTATATGTTATACCTCTAGTTTCACATTTTCTTCTCCCCTGACGACTTCCCCAGGTTTAAAATCTATTTTTTTTTTTTTTTTTTTTTTGAGATGGAGTCTCACTTGTTGCCCAGGCTGAACTGCAGTGATGTGATCTTGGCTCACTGCAACCTCCGCCTCCTGGGTTCAAGCAATTCTCCTGCCTCGGCGTCCCAAGTAGCTGGGACTACAGTTGCAGGCGACCACACCCCACAAATTTTTGTATTTTTAGTAGAGACAAGATTTCATCACATTGGCCAGGCTGATCACAAACTCCTGTCCTCAAGTGATCTACCTGCCTCGGCCTCCCAAAGTGCTGGGATTGCAGGCATGAGCCACAGTGCCCAGCCTAAAATCTATTCCTTAAACTTCCCATTGGAACCTGTGGAAAATGACATCGCTGTGCTGGGGAAACAAAGTACATATGGATTGTCAACTCCTAGCAGAAATGTGAGGCTTGAAAAACCAAGGCTGCAATGTTATGCTTTTTGTCAGTTAAGATAGTCTTAATTATTGAGAAAAGAGAACACAACAATAATAAAAAATAATTTTTAAAATGGCTACTATTTCTTAAGTACTTATTCTGTACTAGACACTGTGCTGGAACTTTTAAACTGAGAGGTGGGAAGCCTTGATTAAAGAAACCAGAACTCTTCTAATTCTAATCCTAGCCATTAGTCAACCCTTTCTTGACTCAAATTTGAATAGACATATATTCAGACATGCATAAAATAGCCTGCTTCGAAATTGTGTTCACGAACCCTCTTTAACTATTATAATATTTATCAAGATGTTTAGCAGATATCATTGTCAAACCTGTAAGGTTGCTCTCCTGTGTGGGTTCTCAAGTGCCGTGTTAGGTTTGCAGACCTTGGGAAAATCTTGCCACAGTATCTGTTATGAAAAGATGTTTATAAGAGAAAGTCAGCACAGTTGACTATATTTCACTCAAGCCACACAGCAGCCAGATGTTTACTCCTGATTCAATTAATCTTGCATGGAACACACATCTCTTTGATATTTAAAATTTGCAATGAAGCCATATTACAGATATTAATATGAATAACTCTACAAATAAAGACTGTATGATAAGATCTGGTTGAATGTATTCAAGTATAAGTGAGCAATTTATGAAAATAGACTTTAGTTTTGATTGCTCCTACACATCTCGCTTATTAACTTGATATTTTTACATTCGCAAAGGTGAACCAGACAAGGGGATAAAAATATGATTCGAGTTTGTAATTCTGGGTTGATGTAAACAGACTTCAAATGTTTCAACTCATTTTACATGTTAGCCACAGTAGTAACTTCCTATACATAGAGTGTTACCAGATCGACAAAACCCTGAGACTTCATCCATCAGGGCATGTACCCATGAAAGCTTTCTTTTCTGGAAAGTGTCATATATTTCAAAGAGCAGATAAGTGATATGCCTGAGTCAGATACTACAAATTTCTAAAGATGATTCAGAAATAATAAGCATAATTTATTTAGAAAAAAAAAAAATCACACACAAAGCCAGAAACATAAAACAAGCTTTACTACTGATGAGTAACAGAAAATTTACTAACTAGTTTTACTCACTTATGGACCTTATTTGTCTTTAACTAATGGCCTTATTCTTCAACGCCATGACAATTAATAAATATATGCTTGAGGACAGTAGTAGTGTACCTTTAGATGAAAATAATTAATTGTGAAAGAAAATTCATAAATATCAAAGTGAGACAAGTAGATAGTATTTGGACTGCTTCCAACATCATTTATCACAACCAAATGGCCTGTGTTAAAATTCTCATTTAATAATTTTTTAAAAAGCACTATTTTTATATTTCACTAAATGAAGAACACTTTGAAGTGCTTGAGATCTATCATGGTGGCTATTAATCATCTAATCAAGAATAATTTCCAAAACAAACAGCTGGGCCTTTTGAAATCAGAGGGGAGATTTCTGGAAAGTCAGCCATAATTAACTGTGCAGTTACCTGCAGGTATAGCGCTCCTTTCCCTTCCGCAGAAGGTTCTCTGGAAGGGCATTGGGAGGTGCTCTGAAGTTGAACATAGAGGGCACTGACTGTAGGAGCTCACTGGCCTCAGGTTTTAGGGCACTGAAGCTCTCTAGCTTTTCAGCCATGTTTTCAATAGCTGACATCTGAAAGGTAAAAGCACAAGACCATGAAGCGTTTGGCATCTTGTCTTCTATAATAATCTCTGGCAAACCAAGAACATCATTAAAAAGGGAAGCATGAAATCTGCAACGGGTTGTAGAAAGAGTCTGTAGTAACCCAGTATCAAATAAACAACAACAGAATTGATTTATTTAGGAAATACCACAAGTAGAACCAAGCTTATAAAATGCTGAGTGAATTTTTGCATAACACCTTGGTTAGGCCATTTTATCATAATCTGATATGAACTGAACAATGAAATATATGAGAGCTAATAGAGCAGATTTAACCTTCTATTTGATTAAGGGACAACATTAGTATCATGGTATGGACATTAGCATAATGGAACTTATAGGGAAGTTGCTATACCCCTTGCCTAGGTAATGAAAACCATAAGAACCATGCAGTCCCAAGAAAAGAACTGATAGCATAAAAGAACAGAAAGTGTTACAACATTACAGCTGAAGCCAAGTGTGTGTAACTCAGAAAGAAAAAATTAAATGTGTGAGAGGGTATTGCCTAAGACTACATTATTTTAACGTCTGGATATGCTATAGTTTTAAGTGGGATCATATACAAAGAATTTCGATGAAATATTAATTTCATCAAAGACAAAGACTGAGTTGAAAGGACAGTTCATCATATATTAATATAATTTCATACAACATAACTTGACATGTACCTTGTAATACAGGGGGAGCAGTTTATGTAACCACACTTTTAGAGAAACATTCTTGAAAGAAAATTATCCCTGCCTAATTCTTCCCCACTAACAACCTAATTTTTGTTGCTTATAATCTTCAAGTTTTTGTTCACCTGCACACTTATTTGAGAGTCACAATCAGAGGATGGCATTTACTTTTTAAGTTGACTTGATCACTGTTTTTAAAAATTTTTTGTAGAGTTGGAGCCTCACTATGTTGCTCAGGCTGGTCTTGAACTCCTGATCTCAAGCAATCCTTCCACCTGATACAGTGTCCCAAAGTGCTGGGATTATAAGCATAAGCTAAGCTACTGTGCCCAGCCTTAGCTTCATACTTAAACTCCACAGCTAGAGGGACTCTCCCCTTTCCTTTGACCCTCTCAACATGCTGGGTTTCCTCAGGGCTCACATTTTATTCGGAAGCTCCTTATTACTGAATTTTTAAGCAGAAAAACAAATTTTCGGGCCATCTTGTTAAATCAATCCCTCTTTATTTGTTTGGTTCTCAGAGTAGTATGCCATTAGAAAGCTCAAGAAGCTATTTTTAAAGGTGTTTGCGTTCTGTAGGCATTATATAAAATTCTCAAAGAGCTGGGATGCTAGACCAGAGACACATAAGGACCAAGATGACAACTGCAAGTTCAAACAACTGGTTAACTCAAGAAACTATCCTTTTGCTAATGAGACGGGAAGACAGAGATGAAGGCCTAATTTATGAGCTCAAGTTAAAAATAAAAGGCAACATTTCCTACTCAGAAGGAAAAATTAACAAAACATATATTCAATGGACACACAGCTGAACAGAATACTGTCAGCTTCTTAAAGCAGAGCAAAATCTTAACAGCATGGCCTGAATATGATCTCTTCATACAAAAGGAATATTGTGTGTTTGATTTTTCAAATGATTATTCATGTTCTAGTTAGTTCTCTTTTTTTCCCCTCTTTATCCTGGAGCCTGCCCTCTCATTTCATGCCCAGACTCCTAATGCTAGCTACAAATTGCAATGTACAGGGTACCACTGCCAATTTGCCAAATGTCTTTCATCAAACACGGTACAAAAAAATCTCAGAGGAAAGTCGAGATACATTTACTTGTCAGACGACAAATGTGAACGCATTGGGAGGCAGTAAGGGCTATAAGCTCAGGGGTTTGATTCATAATCACTCAGCTGCTAAAACATTCTCCACAGATGCAAGTGGACAGCACATTTGTCACTATGAAGGATTTTGACACATACTGATCACAGGGCAGAGATATGGAAAGATGCTGCTGCTCACAGAGGTTGGAGGAAATTCTGTCTCCACAGAATACGGTTATTATTCCCTTCCAGACAGAGCATTAGCATGTCCGTGTTACTTTGGATTTATTTATTAGAAATCAATCCAGAAATATTTTATGATACTCTTTGTATTTGCATGTATTTCTTCTAATTGGTCCTTGTAGAAAATCATTTTGATATTCCACCCGGCATGAAATAAATTTTCTCAGTGAAAGATGACCTCTGGCCTTCAAACTGATTAGCACTAGTAACAAGCACGGGCAAGGGTCATAATCACACACATTTATTGGGATGAACAGTTAGTGCATGGGTAATGATTCCAAATGTTTTATTTATATCCATTTAATATTTAGGTAAAATTTCATTATCTAGTGGTTTTAAATCATTTGAGTGTCCATCCTGCTGACACACTTAGAATCCTGCAACAAAACATCTTTTAAAAACATGCTTCCTTTTATATGGAAAATAGCTTACTCATGACTATTATTCCCGGCTTTCATCTCCAGTGCACATAAACTACAAGTCCTTCAAGTTATCTGAGAGCAATTGGCTGTTGAGAAATGTGTCTTACTTTAGTAGCTGCTAATAGTTAGCTCCTTTTGAAGAAAGATCGCTGTGATTACTTTACCTCAAACTGTTTCGATTTGGGAAAACCATCAAGAAACAAGAAAATATATTATAGGCTTGATGGCTAAATAATGACATTCTTAAAGGTAATAGGAAAAAGAATATGGGTTACACAAGTGTCTCTCTTACAAGCTGCCCCCACCTCTGGCTTCTGGTGTCAAATGAAAAGAGGATTAAATTGGCGTGGGGAAAGGGAGGGAAAGAAGATGGGAAGCAAGCTGAGGGTAACTATTAACACACATATACAAAACATTTTCTGCCCAGCCAGCAACCACTGAAGCAACATAAAAGCCTTCATTGAATCCTTCTCTTCATCTTCCTAATATTTGCTCTTATAGCACTTGACCTCAGTTGAAAAGAAGAAGTTTCCACATTGAGATAAACAGAAGTGACTCAGACATCTGCTAGATGGGGTAACTTGGCAGTTCTGTGACCAACATCAGCCCTAGTCAATACCTTAGATTAAGGTATTGGATTAATATGAGCTCTATTGAGTGTACAGATCAAAAACCCAACTTTCTCTTGCTATCTGGTCTGACTCACATGATCCTCCTCCAAAAGTAACATACTTCTTCCAGGAGAAATAGTAAGTTTTGACATTCATTTTAAATTTTAAAAATCAAGATAAATTGGAAAAAAATGGAACAGAATCTAGCTATATATTTTTAAATTATGAAAAAAATGAAAAGGACAATGTGTACTACTATGAAGAAGAAATTTGCTGAGAATAGGAAAATCAAAGTCAGATCATATATTTTATTACCCTATGACCCATTAATGTCATAGGGTAATCTAAGATCAGTAAATGACAGTTTTTTTCCTATGGAACAGCAATTTTTATTTACATATATAATAGTCGATGTTATCTGAAGCCAGATGTCTGGAAGAGGAAGTCATTTCACCCTGTTCCAGTCCCCAAGAGGCTATTAACTTTATACTGACGCAAACTAATATTTAGACACAATTCCCTAGCTCCTACAAAAAATGTAGCTATCTCTCTACTCAGATAAAGTTAGTATTTTTAAAAACATTTCAGCAGGCAAGATATTATCAACTGGGTCCTAAGCATTTAGTTTAACATTTATTATCTGGCAGCTAATAATTGATGACATAAAAAGGTTTCTCATTAAAACTATTAAAATGACAATCTGATTATATGAAATGATATGTCCAACAACACCATGAATTATGTGACCTAATGTTTTACAAACTAGATTACACATGACTTTATCACAAAATAACTAACTTTTCGTCAATAACTTATGATGGGAAAGTTTGCAGATTTGGTAGTTTCTATATTTATTCACTTGAAAATCTTGAGAAATCACAAAATCATGGTAATATGGAGGAGAACTAAATATTCCTGTTTTGTGGTTATCTCGCTCCATGCATCACATTCAGCAGTCACAATTATGAAATCACTTAGTTTTTTTCTTTATTTTTGTGGGTATATTGTAGGTGTATATATCTTGGGGTACATGAGATGTTTTGATACAGGCATACAATGTGAAATAATCATATCATGGAGAATGGACTATCCATCCCCTCAAGCATGTATCCTTTGTGTTACAAACAATTCACATGGAGGTTTTTTTAACCACTAAAAATTATAAGCATATATCTTTAATATTTCCTACTAATACATGTTTTATAATACAAACGTAAATCACATCTCTGAAAAACCTGTGACTCAATGGAATGGGAATGTTTCAAAGCATTACAATAGCAATCACTATGCTGTTGTATAAACTGTGGAAAAGGTAGTTTAACTTAAAGTCTACATTGCCTTTGTAAGTTGGTACAATCATTGGCCATGTATATAGGGGTCCACACCTTAAGCTTCAAGCAGCTAACAACAAAGCTACTGTCAAAGTCATACTGTGCCTTAGAAAAGATGAGGACCACGAGGCACAATACTCAGGACAGATCTCTACCAGGAAAACCAAAGGAGGAATATACTGGAAACACAGGCCAGGATAATCAGAAAACAACCCCATCTACTGCACAACTTTGCCTGTTAGTGGGTTGATCTCTCTCTCCCTCTTTCTCCATTAATACTTGTATACTTTTGAAATAAAGTTAAACCTTAAAAGTCTATCAGAATGAGAAAAATCACAATTTCATATATTTCACAAAAGAGATAAAATGAAGGAATTTCTGATGAAGAAAAACTAATATCAGATAGAGGAAAGAGGTTAGTGCTAAAATGCTTCAACTAAATTTATATATAATTATTCATGACATTAAAAGGACAGCTGAACTATATCCCAAGATTTTGCCCATTCTTCAGAAATCAGGATAATGTTCAGTGAAAAAGAGAAACAAAAACACATATACTTAGAGAATATTTTTAACTACATGTTATTTCCACTGACCAAGTTTTATCTGGGGGTAAAAACTAAATAAGCAGTATTCTTTGTATCCTGAATGGCTTCCACAATAAAAAAATAAAGCTATCCCCTAATATTATTAACTGAAACTGGCTGTACCTGGAAATAGTAACTGAAAGTCAAGGAAGTGAGACTAGATGCTAAAAGATCCATTCGCTAGTTACATATGGATTCGTAAACATTTAGTTTTATATCTTCAAATAGCCGGAACCAATTTCTGCCCTGGGATATATGGATGTGAATTCCCATGTCAGCCTGCATCTACACACAAGTTCAGGTTTTATCCTTTGGAAGGCTTTATCAAAAGCATCTTTACATGCTGATACAGGCTCCGCCAAATAATGGTTGTTTTCATTTAGTGACCCATTTCGAAGTCTCGTTTAACAGCGTGTTCCCAGGTGTCCAGAAAGAGTTCTGTATCAAGGTATAATTATGTGGAATGGATCAGATTTATCGAATAAAATCATTCTGTAAACAATTTCTAGCTCACTAAATGCCCAATTATAACTGAAAGAATGCAGCTTAAGAAAGCAGGGAAATTATCTGCTGGAGCCATATCATGTAATGGAAAGAGGTTCAGAATTCTTTATGTCTGTACCGCAATTTAGAATGTAAGTTGTATTCTTTTTAATGTTACATCACTTTAGTCAAAAATATAAGTAGGAAACTTACCCAAGTTCTCTGATCAGGCAGTTGGAACTGGGAGCAAAATTGAAACAAAAACAAAAAATTACTTCCGTGTTGGTATCTTTATTGTAATCTAACCTTTGAGAAATTGACATTTGTACGAAATTAGTAATTTTTGCTTAGCATGTAACTGTACCTTCAGTAAAGCTTTGGAAATAAAAATTAAATATTTTATAACACTGCTGAATTTCCTCTATTTACATAAATGAAATGTTTGAATCAAATTTCGTTTTTACAAGAAAGCTAAATGCTACCTATTAGCGAATCTTACAACAAAGCAGATGCTTCCCTTTTGATTAATTAGTACTTGCTATAAAACAATATCCCTAAATATAATTTAATAACTGAACATTAAGCCATTTTCTGTAAAAATCCAATCTCTTGCATTTTCATAATGTTAATAACAAAAAAGATATTTACTCAAATATGAATTACTGAATAGCAAAAGGATAATATACTCGGAAATTCACGACTTGATTGTTATTAATATAGGACCCAGACCATCAGAGGTCAGAACACTTAAGAATGTTAATGGAAAACTAAAAAGATCTAGCTATTAATGACAATTTGTGACAAGATTCACTGGAGGAAACTTGAGTGGGTTAGAAGTTCTTCCAGGAGACACAAAGGTTATATATGCTTAAAAATATCATTTTGCATGGTCAAAAGTGATATATATTTTGCTTACATATGTTTTGGTATCTTTAATAAGGAAGATATTTAGTTTTTAAAGGATGAAAGCTTGATTGCAGATGAAATCTAACCATAAGAAATACTTGTTGAAAGCAAAACAGAAGATGAAGGACAGAATGTTTAAGTGACTTTTCACATCAAGGTATAAATTATAACTTGGGAAAAGACTGTCTCCGCAGTTCCTTAGAATGTAGTAGCAGATAATCAGCCCATTTAAAAGGAAGAAAATACAAAAGAATGACGAAAGAACAGAAATGTAAGTAAAAGATTGTTGCAGATGTACTCAAAGCCAAACATTCAGAAATAAAATGTGCAAACAATCAAAAATAATATTAAAAGTATAGGAAAATCAAACGAAGGAATAATAGCCACTTTTACAATTCTGTAATTGCCAAGTGACTTCATGAACGTTCACACGAGCTATCGGTGTGAAGGCAAAGGGTCCAAAATAGGAAAAAATAAAATGGACATTCGGAGGTCACACAACAATAACATTCCCCGCACTTACCTATCTGTGGCCATTGAACTCCTTCTCAAAATCATAGTGTAAACCAAGAGACCGTAAATAATTTTCAACCACATATGCAGGGAAAGCCTCTACAATGCTTACTTCTCCCTTAGAGTAAACTGACTTATTTGTAAGAGAAAACTAGAAGCTAGAAGGTTCTCACCTCACCTGACAGAGCAAACATGATTCCTCAAGAACTGAACTAAGAGAAGACTCTAGACCCTCAGCGTTTATCTTTTAATTTTGATGTATGTATTTATGCATCTTCTAAGTATTTTTGGCAGAATTTTTTAAATATGTATTGTTACAAAAGGCAATAATACAGCCTAATAATCTTTCCATACAATTCAGTCAATTTTTATTTACTGAGGTAATCACTTATCACTGACTAGGAATTATGGATTCAGAAGGGACATGCTGGGAACGTTATAAAGATATACAAGAATTGTAAGACCAGACTTGCCAGGAGAATATCACTATGAAGCATCCTTATTTCTTTTCCCTAAAACATTGAGCATGTGATCCCCCTTTATTTCTATAATAACCCTAAGAAATAGATAGGGCAGATATTATTCCCATTTTGAAATGAAGATCCAGAAGCCAAGAGAGTCCATGTGATTTGCTCCAATGTACTTGCATGGAAAATGAAGCAACAAACAGCTTTATGCAAGCACATTAGCTATGAAATCATGACAAGCGCTGAGAACAGAGCTAAGTCATTCTGTTTTGGCTCCTTGATCTGTGCCACCCTTACTTCTCCCTACTGAGGTCATGCCAAGAACACAATAAGTATCTTTTCAAGTACTCCTAGATAGATGGCATGGCCCTGGCAAAGAAATTGGGCAGGGGATGAGAGGAGGGTGTTTTAATAGCATCCATTTATATTCATAATAAAACGTTTTTGCACCCACTAATAAGAGCTCTTCCTCATTTAGGTCGTTCCACAAGCCAAGCACAATGCTAAATATGTTGTGTACATAAATGCCAACTCTTCCAGTTACCCTGGGAAGGGTAAGACTTGATAAAACAGGAGGAGAACTCGCCTGTATCCCAGCTTGTATCCCAGCTGTATACAGCATGACACACGAAAACAGCCGTGATGGTTATAAAAACAACGAAATATTTCTATAGTAGTTGATAAATAGCCTTTGCCCTAAGCACCCTGAATGTTCCCCTGCTTTCCTGGTCTCTTCTCCGAACACCCCTCAGATAGTCCCACTATCCAGCAGATGAGACATTAGCAGCTGGTGCAGCAAGAGCCTCCAGTATCCTGCTCCAGAATGACAGAAATCCATTCTGATTGGTAAGTATTTATGACACATCAAGTTTTAAGTATTTTGATCATCGCTCTTGGGTCTTGTTCTAATAGCAACATGCAGCAATAGAGAGTCCCTTATTCTGATGTAACATTCTGGTGTAGGAGAAAAACACCACCACTATGCTCCCACAGGCATGTTTATGAAGATCTGAGGAATGACTGCTATGCTCGAAGCACTGGACACACGCCTCATCTTTTGTGATCCTTAATTAAATTTGGGAATGTTAAAATATATTTTCTCTTATTATTTTATTTTAAAATACATACCTACTATATTGCTCGTGGCTGCAAATTCATAGAGAATTACTGGTTGACAAAACTGCCCATCTTATGAACAGGTAAATTTACTTTCATTAGCAAAAAATCTTTGAATTTCAAAGTGGATAGAAACTTTACACCGAACTCTCTCATTTACAAACAAGAAAACTAAGAGGCAGGTAGACTAAGATGCTCAAAGACACCAAATCCCTGTTTGGTTTTTCTCCATTCTATCATGTACTCATAGCACTCAATTTTGAAATGGTTATTTATGAAATTTTAAAGATTATCAGAATATGAAAATAATTTGAGTACTGTAATATTACAGTAATTATTATAACATTAATGAATATATGAATATTACATTCTCAATTTATAATTATAAAGGAACCTATCAAGAGAGATGTACTTTTTGTACAATATCTGACACAAAATATGTACAACTTTCCAGTTCATTAGTCTATGAAACTTCACAAGTACTATTTAGATCAGTCCAAATAAAAAACGTAGGTTATAATAAACATTAACTGTTTAAGAACTTACTTCTTTTCCATAAAGTAATTATGTAAATAATATCCTTTAGTCTTCCAATATAAAATCAATACTAACTGGAATGTTTCTAAAACTTGTACTGCTAAACCATATATTATCTCATTTTGAAAGGGAGTGAGAGCTCTTTAGCCATAGTAGATTTATCCAACTAACCCAGGAGATTGTGTTACAATTCTCATACTCTTTATTCAGGACTCTAGGAAGATACTTGGAAAAAGTGTAAAAGAGGTAACTGAAAGGAAAAGGAAAAAAGAATCAGATCACATAATTTTTGTTTAATTAATTTAATTACCTAATAGCTTTCCATAAGATAGCTTGCATAAACTTCTCCCAATTTTATTAAAGAACCATCATTTTTTGTTTGAACATATTGCAACAGAACAAATTAGTTTACTTTGTTTTTAAGAATTTTCATAAAATGTTGCTATCTAGAAAGACCAGAGCTTGTATCCTTTAAACAAAAATAAAATAAAATTTATATTAAGAAACCACATTCAAGATGCTTACATACCGTATTTTGTTCTTTCAATATGATTTTCCAGATGGTGATTGATAGGTAAACCAATTTTTTTAAAGGACTAAATGCATAAGGGCATTAGGATGAACCAGTTAGAGATAGTGCTGTTTTGTATTTTACTTGCAATGATAAACTGTATATATTTTGATAAATGAACACAACTTTGTTCTGCAAATAGCATTGTACACTGTGGTGAATTCTTGTGCAATTACAGAACTTTGCTGGAATGCTCACTGGTCTCTAGATAAATTCCTTCCCCCTCTATGGTAACAACTTGTCAGGTAGACTCATTTCCTGTTTTTATCTAAGCTCTAAAAGAACAAGAATGACCTTCATGAATCTGGGACGAGTCACTGTATGTATGATCTGTTTCTCAGTATCAGCAACCACGACACACAAAACATACCTTGGATATTTATTTTCTTAACTGAGTTCTGCTCACTCCAAAATGCACTTTAACCCAATAGACAGTTAATAGCAGACAATAATTTAACACTGAGACCATGTTATTTTTACACATATATTAACTAACTTTTCTTTAAAGAGTGTGGGTTTTAATTCTGCTAGAATTTCCTGTGTTCTTCCACACCAGCGTCATAGGAAATCCTAATGTTCTCAAGATGTCTTTCATTTCATTGCACCTGCTTTTCAGGATCAACAAGTTAGTTTACAAGCTGGAAATCTCAAATCCAAAATACTTACTTGTGGGTGAAACAAGAATCCTGGAGAAGGCCTCAAGTATTTCTCTTTCAAAGCTTCAAGTGGGTCAGTTAGTTTTCTTTTCTCTACTCTGAAAGGTTAAAATTAGATTTTGGAGATGAATCAGTCTCACATATCAATCACTACATAATCAGTCACATTTAAAGCAGCTAACAATGAAGCCAATGGTAGGTTTCTGGGAAGCACACTAATAAAAATATAAAGACATCTGTCTAGTTCTTGGAGATTACTCATGGCCCTTCTAGGTGCTTAAGGAGAGAAGGACCTATTTATAATGGAAAAAAAAAACCCTACTGAATGACTAGGAATAGGAATATGAAAATAGGAATAATGAGAAAAGATGAAAAATGAAGAGTCACTAAAATAGAGGCATTTGTCACAAATTCAGTACCATTCCATTTCAAATGTAGACAAGAATACTTGATGATTTTTGAAATCATGAGGTCAAGACTGATTCTGAATATTAGAGCCATTTTCTACCAAGAAGGTGTTCTCCCAAATATGCACTCTATTTCTTCCATATTTGTCAATAATACCAAGAGAGTCTCCAAGCATACACTGCTAGCCACTCTTCAAGGTTTTCTCTCTCTCGATATGTATTTATATTTACACATATAACATAATATATTAATATATAAATATTTTATGTAAATTATAATAAATGTTAAAAGAGAGCACATATATGCTCTTTGGATGCCACTGCTGATAAAAAAGGCAGGCAGATAGGATGGGTGTGGTGAAAAGAGGATGGGGAGCTTTCTGAAGATAGAGAGAAATACATAAACTTACCTATAGATCACTTCTGCTTTAGAAATGTTTGCCATTCTATTTTGCATTAAGCACATAGAGAAATAATATCCCTATGTTGAATTAATTCATTGAATTAATTTCTTTTACCAACCTGGTATTTAAAAAAACTTTTAGATACATGCACTCTGAAGGCAGAATAAAATAGCTACCACTTATTGATATTATATATGTGATATGTATGTGTGGCATACGCCATTTCACTTACTGAACTAGGTGATGTTATATCCATTTTATTGGTTTGTTGTTTTCTTTTTTTTTTAAGACACAAGAAGGCTGAGATTTCAACCCAGGTCTGACACTAAAACTGGGTTCTAGGTCTTTCATGAGTTCGGTAAAAATGACAACCTTAGGTCTTAATTGAGACAAGCACCAGAGAGATGTTGGAGATCACAGTGAGTAACAGGAATGTTAGCAGGTGATGAGGATAAGTGCAAGGAACGTGTGGAAGAATCAGAAGGCAGTTGCTGTTGAGAGGATATAAAAAGGAAAGTCTGAAAAATTATCTTAACAAAGGATGGAGACACATCATTGAGTTGGAAATATGACCCTTACCCAAAATGTGTGACAATCTACACACAAAATATGGGAGATATGTGTTTCTTTGTTTTTTTTTTTCCTTCTCTAACTGGACTGCCAAAGGAATTAAGATATAATAATTTTAAAAAGCAGCCAAACTTGGTACTGATGCACTGAGATATTCTGTATTGTCCTTTGATATTCGTGTGTCATATTCAAATGGGGGTGGTTCTTTTCATACTGGCAATGTTTCTTTGTTAATGCATTGTAAATAATATACGTAGAATTGGAGTTTTAAGTAAAGAACCTGCAGCTCTAGTACGTATTAAGTAATATGAACTCAATAAACATTGTTGAGTGAAATAATAGAACAGCATCTCTTCATGAAAGAGAATTAGAGAAAATATGAAAATACTCCCATGTTAGTAAGTTCAATAGAAAATTATCCACATGTTCCATGAATTCTTGACAATGAACATTTGAATAAGAAAGGAAATGTGAACGTGTTTGTAATATTCAAAATATGTAATATTCATAATATTATTATTCATACCCATTTAAAGAAAACTAGTATTTTAAAACTAAATCACTTTGGTCAAGTGAATATTACAGGATATTGCCAAGAAGCCCTTTTATTAAACTTGTATGTTTCATCCCAAGATTTTTTTTGTTACATCAAAGGAAACCGGATAATGAAGCTATTAAACAGAGACAGGTTTTTTTTTAAAGCCAACTACTCATATTACAGACAAAACATTTTCTGTGATTAATATTTTATTTACTTGGGGATTCCTGAGACATTTATTTAGAAACAATATGACCAGCCCTTATTGAGAATGTGTTGGTACGTTAACAAAGAGTGGACTCCTGCTGTTATATATCCCACCTATTCCAAAGAACCTGACCCATTTTAGTGCCCATGAATATTTGCATTATTCCTTCAGGATCCTCATAATTCCACCACTTGACAATTTACTTTAAACACGACATTCCCATATTTTCCACTCCAAAAAAAGTGTTTAAAAATAAATTTATTGTCATGGGAAAAAGAATTCTGTAGGCCTATTCCAAGCCCCCAGCTTCAGAAACATCCAAAAATGAGTTCAAACCCAGCCAACTTTCAGAATAAAAAATGAGTTCACCAGATCAAACAACTTCATTCTGTTTTATAACAATAGTAAAAATGACGTGTGAAAAAGCCATCACTTTACAGTATAAATACTCCTTTATTTTATCTGTTCATATTTCATCATCTCCCATCCACCCTTACCTGTAAATAGGGTCCATAAAGAAAGGAGTGGGTCTTGCATGCTGCAAGGAACCATCTGAAGCTGGTCTTGGTTCCATGTTGCTTCCTTTTTTTTCCCCAAACACGTGGTTTTTTCGAGGCTCAGTCAGCTTTGTCCCACTGGCTCTACTCCTACTGCCCATACTTAGATCGAGGGGCTGGTCTTGGCTTGTGGCAGGCGTCACTGGAGGCTTGGAGGGTACTGGAGTCAAGGGCTTCTCCTCTTTTCGCTTAGTAGTGAGATCAAAGGGGGACTCAGAGCTGCCCTTCTGCAGTTTCTTAACTTCACTTGGTGATTGGGGTTCCATTTTCAAAGGTAACGATCTCAAGTCTCTATCAGGAAATGGGTACATTGATTGGGAGAATGCTGGAAAAAATGGGAGGGGAAACATGGAAGGGTAAGGTAAAGCTCCAACTTTTTTGTCTTGCAGCCCCACCAGTCCTGTTGAACCAAAGTATTTTTCAGCAATAGAAGCAATAGCCTTTATAGAATCATTCACAGCTCCTGACACCGCAGTCTGCTCCTCTAAAGATGGTGAGAAAATGGAATGATTGCTGTATTCTTTCTTATTATTTATTGAAGCCAGATTCTGAAGAGGGCTTACTTTGTCTTTGAACATTTTACCATTTTCTTTAAATTTCTCTTTATCACTTTCAATGTCACTTTCCAGATCAGAGCCCGAGGTTGTTTCCAGGTCACTGCCACTTGGCGTACTGACATCATCAAGGTCACTACTCTCTGACTGGTCACTGATTTTCTCAAGGGGCCTCTCTTCAGAGGACCTCTCGGGCTGGAGCTCCACTGGCTTATTGTCCCCTACAGGTGGGTGTTTAGATAGTGCCTTCAAAATATCCTGTGTAGCTGGCAGTATCTGAGGATGTGTCATGAGGGGACTTTGACTTTTGTTTGTCTGTTCAGTACTTGATAGTCCTTTAACAGGAGAACTAGCAGGTATCAAAGGAGGCCTGTGGTACAAGCCGGAAGGAAACAGACCAGGGAAGCTAAAAGAAAATCCAGGAGCTGTTGGAAAGGTAAGACCAGCAGGATGCCTATTGGCGCCAAAATAGTCAGCAAGGCCCGGGTTGGCATGACTCATATTAACCATGGACGTTTTATCCATAGCTGGGGTTCCAGGAAGTGAAATGCCTTGGCCAAAAAATCCACCTGCCGCAAAATGGTTCTTGCCCTCACAAAACCTCCTGTGTTTATTTAAGGAAGACGTAGTGCTGAACATTTGTCCACAGTCTTTGCACTTGATTTGGGTTCTGCAATCAGCATGCATGCGCTTATGACGACAAAGGTTTGAAAACTGAGTATAGGATTTATGGCAGACCTCACCTGTGTGCAAACAACAAAAAAGAATCTCAGGCTTTATGTCAATTGCTTCTGAGTTTAGCAAGTATCACAATTGGTTTACTCAAAATTTCAATTAGGAAGCCAGTAAAAGACATTGGAGGCACCAATCTGGGTGCTCCAAACACAGAAAACCCCATTTCACTAGATTCCAAAGCAAGGCAACCAACCTGACAAATGTCTTGAGGCAGCACAAATATTTCATATATATATATTTTTTGTCACCCCCGCATTGTGCAATAGTTTGCATTATATTTGCATATTTAAATATTTATGGAGAGTTAAATTCCAACATGCATTGATTCTCCACCCAATTACTATGCTAATATAATGTTGAAAATTAAAGTCTTAAAATGTATTAAATATGAAACATAGCAAGAACCCCTTTCAAATTTTAGAGTACTTAAAAATTCTATTTTGTAGACGACAAAACAAAATAAAATAGCCTCAACCAGAAACTTCACCTTCATTGCCTCTCCCCTTGGGGAAAAAGCCTGTGACTGCCCTGCTATTATTTAATTGGTATTATATCATATGCTCTCATCATTCACACATCAAAGCCACACAACAATGCACATTGTGTATTCCGAAACTTTTTTTTAACAATCATTTTCATGATTTGAGAAAGACTGACATAATTTACAATGGCTCTATTTTAAGCCTGCAAAGGAAACTAAATTGAATGTAGCCCATCCTGCATTGCTGGTTCCCATGAACTATGATCACGTCCTCTGACTTCCCCTCACACCAGTGGTTGCACTAACCTTCCTGCATTTATGAAACCCCCGTCCTTGGGAAACATATCCACTTGTTGTCATATCTACATTAGTTATCATCTCAGGCTTGACTTCTGTGCGTTACGGCCAACTCTAGTTGGTAGGGGAGAGCACTGTGAAACCTCTATTCCAGAAAGAAGGGCACAGCTGTGAAATTGGGTGCAGCTGTGAAATATGCCTCTTCACCAAGAATTTGCCGATAAAGTAGAATCTCCCTCCTCTCACATCTGCCACTATAGCTAAGTATATTTTAAGACGAAACTTTGTACCCTTTTATAACTCCTTTACCAGGTAAGAATCCTCACTCACTTCACAGTCCAGTAGGATTACAGTATCAGTACTCTGAGCATCATGGTTTTTTCATTTTACTTCACAGGGTTGAATCATGTTACGTGTGAACTTACTTTAACACTTCTGTGCATGTTCAATACATGCACAAACAAGATATACCTTGTTGGTAATCGTCGAAACAAATTTATTTTAAGAAATTAAATTGAAGACAAAATGCAGTATTTATTGCTTTCATATGATGACTGCCTTTAAGTGCAGAATGGTTGTGCTTCTATGTCAAAGCAATAATAATTTTTTTAAAAAAAGAAAAAAAAAACAACTTATGCCTAGGAGATTTTATAGACTTTCAGTCAAGCAAAACTCACCCAGAACTTGGATTATCCCACATACATCCAAACAGGAAGTACTAAGTGAGGATATATCTCTTTCTTTACTACTAAAGGTTCAACTGTATTGTTATATATATATATATCAACGTGCTTGGTAATGTTAAAGGTGCCTTCAATTATGGGATGAATCATAACAATATAGAAGTTGTAACATGCATTTTCGCGGGAAGAGAAGATGTGGGTGATTTCTTTTCAAATTATTTTGCCAGAATATATTGACCAGAGTCAGCTTTAAAAGTATATACTATGTAACCATATACAATAAATAAACGTATGATTTAAAATATTTGATACACTAATTAAGATCATATCATGGAGAAGGCAGAAACATCAGACATTCACTAGATATATTAGAATAATTCAGCTAGAAACAATAACAACATTTTATTATTGGAATTATAAAAAGTAAGAAAGCAACACCTCTTAAAAGGCACTAAAAAAATGTCTTGATGAGCATTCAACCAAGACATAAGTTTTTCAAAGGCTTGTAATTTTTTGGCAAGGAAATGTTGCTCTCTACACTTCTTTCTTACAACCAGATGGCTTTAAAAAAAATCAAGAGTTTCTCTACAGTGGAGTAACAGAAGTTCAGCTGATTTTTCTCATGGCGCCCTTTGTTACATGGCTGAGTGGTGTCTGTGTCTGGGCTCAAGAACATAGGATATGGGATGTTTTCTTAGGCAGAGGCTTTGTTTTCAGCACTTGAAGGACTGGGCTGGCATACCACAAACCACCAGGCCTCCAGGTAAACTGGTTCAATTGATGTTGAAGTCTACACTCTACTGTAATTTTCTCAGTAATAAGGAATTAGCCAGCAGTTAACATTGCATTTTTCTACTTATTAAACAAATTAAGAGGCATTTTGAATATATTCAGCCTATTAGAGCATGTGGTTTCTATTTGGGAAAGCTGGAGGTTTCTGTAAAGGCAGTGAGTAATTACCTTAGCACTGGTGACTTTGGACTCAAGCGTGGCAGCACACTGTAATAAGAGACAGTTGCCATAAACACACCAGTGGGGGTAAATCGTGGTGTGTGGCCTTCTGGTGAGAAACAGATATCAGCCCTAGGTGAACCTCCTCCACTCAAGTCTCCGCACCATTTCCTGATCTTTAAACTCTTTTGTTCTGAAATTACATGGCTATTATTCATAATTACTCCATGGTTCTCTGTCAGATTTTATATTTGAAGAATGCCATCTGCTATTTAAATTTACCAATAATTACTGAAAATACATTCAAGGGAAATACTTTATGCAACCTGATTGGAAAGGAACACCCTATGGCACTTTAAAGTGAAACACTTGTCTTCAACACAATTAAAATTCCAGATTCCAGAATCTTCAATAGCAGAAGTCTATATTTTCTGACTTTTATTTTAAATAGTAGAGAAAGCATTAAATGAGTGATCAGAATTCCTTGTGGCTTATTTTACTTTTTTTCACATCAAAACATAATAAAAGTTACCAAAATTTATTTCTGAGGAATCAGAAATAAATGAACTATTTAATATCGTATGCCTGTAGTACTTCCAAGTACATTTTCAGGGCATTAAGACTTAAAAGCCAGGAATGCCTTTTTGAGACAAGAATCTAAAAGTTCTATTGAATGCTTTATTTCCTGTGACCTTCAACAGAGCTTCCCCAAGGGAGACGAGAGCACCCTTTTGTTTATCTGCTAGTCCTCTTCACCCGGGGAACAGAACATATGAGCAAAACAGGACTCTAGCGTAAGCTGGAAAAGGAAAGAAAAGCTCTTTTGGTGCTTGGACACACAAAAGAAGGCTGTGTCAAGACGAAGGAGAGTAAGTCTCTGGCATCTCTATGTTGGCACTGCAAATTCGTTTTTTCCATCAGGTCCTGTAGTAGTGTCTCATATACCTATTACAAACCAAAGTCAGAGGTCTCGCCAAGTGCTGAGTGTGCTTCAACTAAGTCTACGTGTATTTGGATCCAAAGTCAGTCTTGAAGTTTGTAGCACGACTTAATAAGTCATTGCATTTATATGGCCAGCCAAGCAATGAATTAAAAGAAGCCCAGAATTTTTGCCCACATAGACTAAAAACAACTGATTTTTCTTCTAAAATGTTTTGAGTACAATACAGAGAATCGGAGTGGGTGGACAAGAAAAAGCAAATGAGAGCTAAGTTTTACTGTATCTGAAGGATGTTACTACAGTGCTCTGTACAGGGATGTTCTGAGTAGGTGGTCAGATCAGATGTCCCCTAAAAGCACACTGCCTATAAACTTGCTTTGGTGCAGTGGGTAAGAGAAACAGCATGTCCAGAGTCTAAGTGAAAATGTTCTGCTTTTCTTCAAGTAACAGAGAACTACAAATCCAACAGCCTGTGATTGGCAACAATGGGTAGATTAAAAAGCATTTCATCCCCCTTGCTCTCTCCACACACATGTACTCACATACATACACAGAGAGCTGTAAGCCTACTTGCCAGATGGGGTTCTTCCAGCTCTTTCTTATACAGAACAGGTTTTTAATCACTTCATCTTGTTTAGTGATGTCTGCTATTTGCTGCTTTACAAAGCCATGAACATTTACAATATGAGACAAATCTGATTGTCTCGATTAAATCCTACAACCTGGGGAGGCTTCCCTTCGATTATCTAATGACTTTTCTTTTCTCTGCCTGTTATTGATTTCTTCCAAAAGAAAATCCCCCAGGAATCAAAGACAAAATACCATGGATCTGATTACAAAAGATTTACTTGTAATCATAAGTAGCCCTACTGGATTGGACCACAAATAGCTAACACAGTGACCCTCAGAAGGCCATGTGCAGTCACTCTCCTGGTCACAGTGCCTTTTGGAGGAGAGACAGATGTGGGAAGGAGGGCTGGAGTGTTAAAAACTTACAGATAAAGGGCTTCACACTGCTGTGGATGTGCTTGTGTTGTTTGAGGCCCGACGAAGTGGCAAACGTTTTGCCACACTCCGGGCAAGCATGGGCCCGGGCACCGACATGCTGAGAGCGAATGTGCCGCTGAAGGTTGCTAGGGTCCGTGAAAACCTGCTAGGAAATGAGTACTGATTAATCCAGAAACTTAACTCAAGGACACAATTAAAGAAGACCCGGGATGACTCAAGAAGAAATTTGCTTATTTGTTTTGTTTTTGTTTTCCCCAAAGACCAAAAGTGTACTCTCCTCCAACCAAAATTTATAGTACCTACCCTAGAGGGTAGGTACTATAAATGATTCTGCTCTGTATCCTTAGCATGGAGTATCCACTGTTGAACCAAATAATGAATGACACGATTAGGCCATCTTGAAGGTCCTTTGATACCATTTAGAGTGACTTGAGTTGAATAATAAAATGTTGGTTATGGCATTACTAAAAGTAGTGTGCTATTTTCACCCTTGAAATAAAGACACATTGTGTACAAAAATTTGGAGGATTTTGACTAACATTCCCTAAATCTATTTAAAGACTTTCCCTAGGTGTTAAATTCTAATGCTGCTTCAGCTAAATCCATTTCTTTAGATACTGTACTAAAAACAAAAATAAAAAAAGCCACCCAACACATCTGAGAGCAAAACATCCGTAAAGAAATTTTAAATGTCTTTATTTTTTTGAATGAGAAAAAACACACAAAATTTTAATGTGCATAGAACAAGGTAATCATAAGAGTATGATTATCCAGTAACGTGGTGGGGTCCAGAAATTTCCACTGGCATGAAAAAAGCTATTAAAATGCTATTAAAATGTGTTTTGGAAATAAAAAGCAACTTTAATGATACCAGGACATCTTTGAGTCAACTAAGAAACATGAAATTAAAAGAAGCAAATTATTTTCACCATAGGTCACAGTTATGGTCTAACTTGAGTATGTTGTTCAGCACTGACAAGCGGCTCCACATGTTTTAATCAGAACCAAGTCATAATTTATGGTGAGCCCTTGGTTGGAAAAATCTGCAAATGTAAGAGTCACCCATTCTTTCTGCAGAGGTATTCAGAAATTTTATGCGACTTCCTTACAAATTGCTATTAAAAGAAATCAGTAATGTGAATTGAATAAAATCTTCATTCTCCGCAAGGCTATAAACCAACTCCACGCTGGCAAATCAGTAGCGGAACCAGGAATTTACCAAGGATGTCTGACACCTAGTTCTGGAACTCACCATTAAGCCTCACTTCCTCCCTTGCAAAAATAAAAGAATACCCACTAAGTGTTATTATACACTCTACTAATGCCTTTTAGCATACAACACTCAGTCTACTTTTCTCAAGATATTTATAGTTTCCCCTCTGAAGGGTTGTTTTTATATATCGTAGCAAGTGATGGATTACGAGAGAGCAGGATGACAGAGAGAGGCCAAGTAGCCTACAAATTCACTGTACCTTGGCACAGTTTTCACATTCATAGTGCTTTCCACTGTCATGTGACATCTGGTGGCGAATTAAATTGGACTTCCAGTTAAATGCCTTGGGACACTGATCACACTTGTATTCCCTCTCTTCAGTATGTGACAGCATGTGTTTCTCCAGGCTGTTAAGAGAATAATAGATTTAAAAAGACAAAGGATGCATTCATAAACAGAATGTCATTTTTTTTGCTAATCCAACTGGCAATTAAAGAATAAGAAGGAAAAGGAGTTGAACTGAGAAGGAGGAAAGAGCAGAAACAGGCTTGTGACAGACAAAAGTGCATTTATGTTTCCTGGACTGTGTCACCAATATGAAGATGTATTCTTGTTGTTAGAAAATAAATCTGATACAGCTGACAGGGAGTATCTGCCAATTTAAGATCATGATAAACAACAAGCTATTTGTCCAGTTTGAGATTCACTACACAATTCTAACAACAACATGTATTGCTATTACTTAACTGAAATACAAAACTCAAGCAGAAAATGCTTAAAAATATGTAGGCAAGCATTCTTTCTAATGTAGATAATCTCTTGTGAACCTAGGATGGACGGATGGATGGATGGATGGATGGATGGATGGATGGATGGATGGATGATGGATCGATGGATGGATGGACTGATACATGGATATATGTGTGGGGATAGATAGATGATTGATTGATTGATGGATTGATTGATAGATAGATAACCTAAGAATTAAAGAGTAAGAAGTGCATAATATTTTAAGTGGATGCAATAGTTAAGTCCCCTAAAAGAAAAACATGATTAGAAGTTTCTTTCAAGCATAGTTTCTCTGTTTTAAAGGTTAAAATGTTTTATCTTCTCAAATGTTTGCCCCATTTTCTAAAATTTACATATGAAATCTCCATGAATACAATAAAAAAAAATGCTAGATAATGGATTACTGTGATAGAAGATGTCTGCAACACCTTTATTGATTAAATATACACACACATAACACACTGAGATACTATCCCCTAATAAAGTAACCAGAGCTCCATGGAAAAATAGACCATTTCAAATCTGAAGTATGAAATTCACAAGATGGGCCTTGAACATCTTGTTATGACAAAAAGCAAGATATTTATAGATAATGTCCAAAAAATTAGGGTGCCAACTTGAAGAGATGCCCACTGACCAAAGGTGGGGTAAGTGGAGCATCAATAAGAATAGCAACAATTTTATCAATAATGATATTCAAAACACAAACAGAACCTCCATGGCCACCTAAGGAGGATGGAGGAAAGTCAAATCATCATTCCTAAAACTGGTAAAGAAAGGGAAAATATTTGGGCACATATCTGCTTTTCCTATGTAAACTGCACTTCGGGGTAAACAAATAGGACTATGAAGGGAAGTTTCTTTACATGAAATTAATCCAGATAATAGATGATGAAACAGTGATAGAGTTAGAAGACATTCATTCTGAAGCTCCTAAAGAATTGATGAATCTAGTCAATCGATTATGCGACTTCGAGTAGAAACAAATGGCACCATCAACAAAATATTCCTGGTGAGACACAGCCTAAATCCCAACCAACGCTTGGGATAGAACTACAAGCCTACAGGAAACTAGAGGGGATGGAAAAAGATGTTAACACCACAATGATATAAACAGCAGAATCCAGACTGGAGGAAGCACTACAGTAAAACAACTCAGTTTCTTCTACGATTTTCTATAAATAAATTATAATAAGAGAAAGAAGAGGGTGGAGAGAGAGACACAGACAGACAGGGACACAGAGAGAAAGAGAGACTGACTCTGGGGGAACATTTAGATTAAAATAGTTGTAAGAGACTTGTCAACCAATTGTTATATGTGGCCTTTATTTTGATCTTTATTCAAAAGAAACACTTTAAACTTTATGAGATAACTGAGGAAAATTGTGCTCTTACTGAATATTTGATAATATTAAGAAATTATTTTTTAATGTGGTATTGAACTTATGTCTTTAAGGAGTCCTACTTTCTATAGACACATACTTAACTACTTTTTAATAAGATGATATAATGTCCAGGATTTGTTTCAAATAATTCAAAATAGGTATATTGACAAGACTGACTTCATGTGATAATTATTGAAGCTGAAGAAATGGGATTTAAAAAATACTATCTCATCTCTAGTTTTGGGTATATTTGAAGCTCTCAATAATAAAAAAAGTTAATTAGGAAAGAAAAAGTAGCAATCATGAAAGCATTCTTTTATTTTATTTCTTTGTGTGATGAATACTGCAAATATTAGTACCAATTAAGACCTTTGAACACCCAGAATAGATTATCCAGTGGTCATACAGACTGTGTGAGTGGGAGTATACATAAGAAAACGAAGTGCCCATTCTCATATCTCGGCAAATTAGAAATGACTTTCCTACACATTTTGTCTTTCTCAGCTTCCTCCCCACAACTCTATTCATGGTGCAAGAACTCATTTTCCTGCTCCATGAACCAGTCAAGTTAGAAATGCCATTCTGAGCACAGGTGGTGATATCTCTGTGAACAAAAGGTACTAGGGGAGTGCAGGTCATAAGAAAGGCCCTACCCTTATCTATATTATGTTATCCTCTGTGTGTTACAGAGTGGAATGTTAATAAAAGAGTTAAGACTGAAATACCAACAACTGTAGTTAACATTGAAATGAGTCAGGGACATCCTCCAAAAATCACTGTACAGATTACAATTCTCACTGTCTGTCCCTAGCAACCCACAAAGGCAAGCCATTTTATGATCTAACTTCCACTATGCTATATATCAAATCATAAACCCTGAAATCTAGTGGCAAAAGATTAGCCTATATGTTGAGTTTTATTCCTGCCTCTAATTCCAAAGATACGGTTTAATTTTAGGGGTTTATTATGAGTATATGGCATGGCGGGGGGAGATAACAAAGCAAAAGGAATTTTCCCTTCTTTGCTTCTTCTAATCAAGCAGAAACTCCATATTGTTCCATAGTATTATTAGCTTTCAGTTAAGTAGTTAAAAAAAACACTAACAGCGAGTGCTTTTCACAAAAGTATATGTGCATTGCTTTCATAAACATAGAAGCAATCTAGTCAGTCAGTGAGACTTCTCTGTTTTTCATGGAATTTTATCTCAATCTATAGAACCTTGCTCAGCCTTTTGAGTGTTTTCAGTCTTTTCACCTTTTGCACATCAACCTTTGTTTCTTTCTTGTTTTTTTAATTTGTTTTTGTTTTGCATTTGTTTCTCAAGATTTTACATAAAGGATAGAGAAACAGAAGAACAGATCATGTCCAGAAAGTCATTTTCATCATTTAAAGTATAAAGTGACAACATAGCATTTAATAAAGTAAAAAATATTAGAAAATAAAGGTTCTGAATGTGGCTAAATTATATCATTTATAACTAAAAAATACCAGTTGGAAGATTAGAATTTAATTGCATAGTGACATGCTTTATCCAAATGGCTGGGCTACCAAAATATTAATTTGGAGAATTCAAGCAATGCCAGACAATTAGGTTTCCTTTTTGTTTTCTCTAAATGTTTGACTGAAACTACTAAACTAATAGTTGGTTTCAGCATTAGGTAGAGTTGACTCGGGCTTAATCTTATAGCCAGGCAGATTGAGAGGCTTTCTCCACCTAAGAAGTATTGCTGTAGGAGGTGTTTAGTTTGTCAATTTCTGCCTTAATGCTGTTCATTATTTTTATAACAAAACTGAAAGAAATAGACTTTATTTCTGACACCAGAGATAAATACTTTTCCTACTCATTAGTATTTATTAGCTTCATTTTGTTTTTTAATTGGGGCACAATGATATTAAAGGGACATACTGTGACTTTTTAAATTACAAATCCACACTTTACCAAACATATATAATAGATTTATTCTCTACGAAGATTTATAGGAAGTGGTAGAGGTAAGTTTAAAAGATTCTGGAAAAACCCTCATATTCCGTAAAATGTTTATTCTCTAACAGCTAAATTAGTCCTAAATTTTCTAGATATTTATTCTTTCTATTCAATCTCCTCAATAAAGAAGGATTATGCTTAATGCCTTTTAGTCATTTATGCCTTAAAGTGAACAACTACAAGATGAAATCATTTTCTAAAAGAGGCCTAACCAGGAGAAGAGGAAGTAGGGCAATACAAGGGGTGAAAATGAGAGGAAGAAAAGGATCCAGGGAAGAAGGGAAGGAAACGGAAAGGTAAACGGAAGGTGGAGAGTCAAAGTCAAAATCTGAGTAATGCCCATTCTTGAGTAAGGCTACTTGATAGACTACCATTCCTGTTTAAATATAATGGGATATTCATTTAAAATTCGGATTACAGGTTTCAAGGATAATTTCCAGATTTAAAAGCAAGGTAATGAGTACAACTATTAAAATTATTTGTGGACCAAGGCAAAAATCTAGAAATAAACAAAAAAATACCTATTAACTGGTCTAATCTTTTCTAATTTTAAAGACCATTCTGTAGTACAATCAGTATCTGCTTTTCAAAAACTAAGTTCTAGTGTTGTTGTTTCTTTAACAGAAATTTGAAAAAGTTATAGAATTAAATTCAAAAGGCTGGGCCGGGTGCGGTGGCTCACGCCTGTAATCCCAGCACTTTGAGAGGATGAGGCGGGTGGATCATGAGGTCGGGAGATCGAGACCATCCTGGTCAACATGGTGAAACCCCATCTCTACTAAAAATACAAAAAAAAAAAATTAGCTGGGCATGGTGGCACGTGCCTGTAATCCCAGCTACTCGGGAGGCTGAGGCAGGAGAATTGACTCCAGGAGGCAGAGGTTGCCATGAGCCAAGATTGCGCCATTGCACTCCAGCCTGGGTAACAAGAGCGAAACTCCATATCAAAAAAAAAAAAAAAAATCAAAAGGCTATAAAAAGTTAATGTCACTAAAATATGATTTTTATTATGTTAAAAAAAGTGTTAAAGAATTACTTCATTTTGATTTTTATGTTTCTCTTTTTCCTTTTAGGAAATTCAACACTTGAGGAAATCTAACATGCTTCTCTTATTCTTTTATATATGTGCAATTCAGATAAATTATTGAAATTAAATCCATGAATTACTGCTCTATCAAAAGATCATTCATCTGTCATTGAGTACCAGATCTAATCTTTAAGAAAAAGATCATCTGAATGTTTCTAGGGGTAGCTTTATTGTTTCTTAACAGATAATTACTTTAATTTGTTTCAGCACTCTATATTTTCTCTAAATCATCATTTACTATAAAGTTAAGCCTTCAGTTTCTAATAACAGTATTTAATAATAATATAACATTATTTTTCATCTGGCATCAAAGTAGCTAATTCCAATTTCACTGTAAATATTTTACAGATGAGAATATCCGGCAAAAATGATTTTTGAACATGTCACAAGTGCATTTGTCCAGCTCATTGAAGTTCCAAATTTTCCATATGCATAAAGCCTCAAAATTCAGCATAACATTGCACAATAAATACACAAGTTTTGTGGTACAACATGCCATTTCTAACCTTTGCAAATCAGGAAAAACCTGGTCACATTCCTTACACTCCTGGATCGTGTGTATCTCTTGGAGATCACTCTCGCTTTCAAGTTTTTGCTGGAAGTCCTCTTCAACCATTGAAAATGCTGAGTGAGGAGTACTGCAAGGAAACTTTTGGTGATCTGCTAGTTCAGCCTTAGATTCAAAGAGCTGATCACAGTCTTCACAGCGATATTGCCGTTCTTCTGTGAAAACAATTCGGGTGTTACTAGGATTGAACGGTCAAGAATTGCCACCACAAACCAGCCAATCTTACTGAATTTTACAAAACATAATAGGTATTATTTGATTGTCATTTCTATTACATCAATTTTAATGTGGATTAGAAATATTATGTGTAAAGAACCCAGGACAGAGACTGGAACAATAACGTAAGCAACGGCTGTGACTAGATTATATCCTCCTGATCAGTAAAACTTTACAACTAAGCCTTTTCAGGTTCAGAGAATACTAAAAATAATAGATACCACTACTGAGCATCATATATTTTCTCAACCCTGTACATGGATTACTGACATTCCTTAAAACCTGATTATGAGAAATTATAGGTCAGATTTTTATTCTAGTTTTCAGATGAGGGTTTCAGGTTCAGAGAATTTAAGTGTAAACTTTTCAGGGACTATAGAGCTACATGGTGTGTAAGGCTTTGAACCCATTTCTATCCCATATGCCATGTTATCTGGAGAGAACATGGGACACAGAGTTCCTATCTGAGCCACACTTAAGCCTGGTCAATGTCAGCAAACTTGGAAATGGTTTAACATTCATCATCACTAATAATGGGACACAGGATGTTTTTAGTACCCTTCTAGGGTAATTTATGTTACCCTAGGGTCAGTGCTAATTGGCATAGCTTTGTTAAATAGCAAACATATCATTAATTTCCACTTTAAATCAATAAGATAAATAAATGGTAGTAGTGGGATGTAGAGATAACAAGGTTATAAAATGTCAGGTAGTGATGGTATTGTTTCTATTTTTGTCTTTTGAATAGATTTCAGCCCACTCATAAAGCCACACTCTGCACAGATCACACAGATACAATCACAGAAGTCTTGAAAACAGCTCACTCTGCTAAAAAATAAAAATAAAAAAATAAACCCATGGCAAACAATATGACACATAATCCCTCTTTTATAGACCTATGGCCAAGGAAGATGTTACTCTTCAATTGTTCATTGATTGCATGTTTTTGAGAGAATACTTTAGTCACCTACTAAATGTTAGGCATTTTGCTTGGGAATTAATATATAAGAAATTTAAGAGGATATACTTATGAACAAACAGACTGTGATATATTTTATGGCAGATGCAAGCATAGAACCTAAAGGAGCCTAGAGAAACACTACTAATCCATCATATCTGGAAGGTTCTGTAATGAGTAAGAATCAGCCAGGTGAAGTGGAAGGAGGGGGCACATTTCAAGCAGGGGGAACAACATGCACCAGTGATGGAGGCAAGAAAGAACATGGCACATCCACAGAAAGGTAGAGCTGTGGTAAAGTATGGTAGGTTCACAGAGCGCATATAGGGGAGAAGTGCAAAATAAAGTTGGAGGGGGTGCAGCTCACCAGAGACTTTGTAAATCTATGTTAAAAAGGAAAAGATCCATTGAAAGTTGGAAAGCAGGGGATATATTCAGACTTGGTTTTTAGAAGAATTTTCCCCAGTTGCAGCATGAGAAGTCACGCAGAGAGGCCAAGAGAGACATTGCTGCAGAAACCCACATAAGATGCTGGTTTAGTTTAAACTAAATCCGTAACAGTGGTAACAGAAAGGTAAAGCAATTACCATGTGGATTCAACAGTTTGGATTTAGAGGGTCAAAAGAGAGGGAGGTGTTCTAAAAGAAAATCAACTTGGCTCTAAGGATGGGATTCTCAATGACATTAACCAGTTAATAGAAACATTTCCAACAGTCTGTAATACTATTCACATATTTAAGATCTATATATAGGACCTCAGCCAGGGTTCTGAACACAAACAGTATCTCCAGGCCACATAGTGCATAGAGAAGGCCTAGGCATCCGAGACAGCAAAGATCTTGGGTTGAATGCTGACCCCACCATTTATCAACCATGCATTCTTGGGCAATTTACTTAGCCTTAATTAGGCTCAGTTTCCCTATATGTAAAATGGATATAATTTCTTTCTCACAGGTTCTATGCATAAAAGCGTAAATGAGACAATATAGAGAGAGTATATAATATCTATCATCTAGTAGGCATGCAATGCATGTGTTTTTTTAAAAATTTATTTTCCTAAGAGGAGTTGAATACTGGGAATATGAAATAAAAATCATCATTTAAATATTATAAGAATTATATGTAACATATGTAGTGTATGTGTGGATATAAATGTGATGCAATGAAAACCAGAAGCGAATGATGGGTTCAAGAGTGTTGTAAAGGATATTCGTTTACAAATGGCAGCCTTAAAAGAATAGTCACTTCTATTTAGAGCTTTTGGAGTATTAACCTAATTATTTATATTTTAAAAACTCATTGTTTGAAAACCTTTTTAGATCTAACATTTATGGATGAACTATTCATTGCACCAGAAAGCCCCGATTGCGGTTCTTCAACATCTAAGAACTCCTCCTTGCTGCCACACAGCCCTTTCCCTTTGGGATAGATACACCCTTCAGGTTCAGACTCTACCAGGCTAACTGGGGACTCTAGGTTTCTAAAGCTATTTGCATGTCAGAGCTGCTAACAGGGAAATAAATACCAAAGTCCCCCACTGCCACCCCTCCCCAACTACACCGAAAATACAACTACTCCTGTATAACCTACAAAGAGGCAGAATGCAGTCCAAAGGAAAAAATGTTCAAGTAAAGAGAACCCACCAAGAGTGGCAGCTTTCTGGAGGTATAAAGGCAGAAGCTGAGATTTTTCCCACCTGGGATGCTAGAAGGGTGAAGGGTGGTGATCCCTGACTCTATGGTAGGCTGGAATGGGTAATCCTTCCCAATGGACCTTCCAACTACAAAATATTCTAAAGATGCCACTAGATGTTGAACCTAGTCCAAATCACATTATACTAGAAAACAGAGAGAGGAAGAAGAAAAATACATATTAAATGTTCATCTCAATGATACAAATCAATGTAAGCAAAATGTTCTCTTTATCTGAACTAAACATACATTTCTACTGATAATCATTGTTTTTTATTATCTTTTGATTTAGAAAAGGCCTCTGGCAAATAAAAATTCCTCTGACTCTAAAATTTCCTCATCTGCACATTTTTCCCAAAGCCCCTTCTCTGACACCCCTCCCATATGGTCATATTGGCTAAGATTTTACTGCAGTAGAAATACTTTTCCCAGTAATAGAACATTAGATGACAAAAACATCCCCTTATTTAGGAAAGCTCAAAATCAAGCTCCCTGAAAGGCCCCTTACACAGTGAAAGGATTCTCACCATAGACTAATGCATTGACAAAAGGCTTAACTAGGTGAAGTTCCTGTGCAAATACTCAAAATTCCTTTGACCTCCATTTTAAGGAAGACCTCTGCTTACTTCAGCTTCACTGTAGTAGTGGCCAGATGTCAAACCAAGAAAATAGCTGCTTCAAGAGAAGGAACTTGTTAAAACTGACACTGAAAAGCCAGGGAAACTAACAAACAAACACCAAGAACAATGGACGGTTTGGATGCTACTTTACAGTCGCAATGGAGGGTGAGGAGGAGGGTGGTGCGACTGGTACTAACCGTGGATGTCCGGCGCCATCGTTTCATGGGGATAGTCTTCGCTCTTCATGAACAGCAGAAGCTCCTCTCCCGGCGCAATGTCTGCAACTACTCTGTAGAATATCTATAAAGACAGAATAAAGGGGATGGGATCAGGAAAGAGAGAGATGTACATATATTAACAAAGGGCAAGGTATACACTAAGATATCTGTACATTTTGTCTTACCTTAACAAACATCTTTTTATTTCTTCATCAAAAGAAGTGTGATTTCCTGTGTTATATCTGAAAATGAGCCCTCTGGTGACAAATGGAAAGCTGTGACTCTCAAGCCAGTTCACAAATCTTTTCCAAATCCTACTTCACAAATCAAATTTTCTTAATGCACAGCTAGCTGCGTCACATATATCCTGTGTAATGTTTAACGAAGAGCTTTCCCTTCTCTGAATCCTCAAAGCTCCCTAGCAAACCGCACATACTCACAGAGTTGAATCCTGCCTGGAGTTCTCCAGCGGTAGCCCAGCTTACCTTGCACCTTCCCCACTTAAGCAAGTTTGCAAAAGTAGCACCTTCTCAACAATGTGTTTGGAAGGTAATAGGTTGAAAGGACATGACATAAAGGATCATGACAACAAAGGAGAGTATTTTGCTTTTTCAAAACTTAACTCTTCTCTCACCAATCAGAAGGGTGCTCCCATACCTGGGTCCTGTCTTCAGGCCCAGCTCCTGATTCACTCTCTTTGAAAGCAGGCATTACGCATTTTATTGATTCATTTATCGGGATGGTAGGGGTGGTGCTTATTCCCCTTGCTTTCTAGCAAAGTTCTGAGGAGAGGAAGCATTTAATACATCTGTTAATGACTGACTGGAAAGCAGTGGCGCAAGTGTGGAAAGAACCCTGACCTGAAATTTCCAAGAGCTGCCTGCCTTTCACCTGAGCAGCTCAGTGACTTGGGCAAGTCATTGTCCAATTTACCTGTCCAGGTACCAGGTTTTTCTTTCTTTCTTTTTTTTTTTTTTCATTTAAAAAAGCTTTTCAGCATGAAAATCTTTTAGATGTTTATTCATTTTACCATAAAAATATTTTCAGTTTTTCATTTCATTCTAAGGTTATTTAATTAAATAATCCCATAATCAGATAAAGCCTTTAGATGAAAAAGTGAAGGTCTACAATTAACTGGTGAAAATGAGACCAATTATATTACACCACAGTACCTTTGTGAGACCCTACAGTACTCTGAGAAGGAAATTATTCCTTTGCCTCATATATTCTTCTCTCTCTTTAACAGTCCAATGAGTCTTTTCTCCCAATCTTCCTACTAAGAATATCCACAAACAGAATCAATCTTTTTTTTTTTTTTTTTGAAGACAGGGTCTCATTCTGTTGTCCAGGCTGGAGTACAATGGCACAATCACAGCTCACGGCAGCCTCAGCCTCCCTGGGCTCTGGCGATCCTATTACCTCAGCTGCCTGAGTAGCTGGGACTACATCGTGCACCATCATGCCCAGCTAATTTTAGTATTTTTTGGTAGAGACGGGATTTCACTGCATTACCCTGGCTGGTCTCAAACTCCTGGGCTCAAGCAATCTTCCCATCTCAGCCTCACAAAGTGCTAGGAATATGAATGAGCCTCTGCGACCAGGCCAGAATCAAACGTATTAAGCCAAAAAAGTCCAGATTCTAAATATCTGAGCAACACACACACACAAAGCCAGAACAACACCACAACAACCACCATGGTATTCTAAGAATATATTCTTAGAAGATACTACTGTTAACTATGGTTTTTTGGTACTTCAAACTAAGAAAAGCTGCATAAGATGATGTCTTATAAGATCAGCAGAAATGCTCATACTTTAATTTTATTTATCTATTTACCTTTTGGAACACTGAGGACTTTGTACGTGCCTCTTTATTCCAGTAGGTGGCTCTGAAGTCCAATTGTTTATTTTTCTATAACAAGACCAGAGCACAAAATTGTGCTAAATTTGTAAAATAACTTAATGAGGAGTATTTTCTGCTTAGCTTCCTTCCTGTCTAAATAATTTTTCTTCATTCAATAGTAGCTGAAGCATCGGAAGCTGGTTTATAGACAACAGTGCCAAACATGAAATGTTGCTATGGTATGTTATAATATAACCTAAGGTTCTTTGAGTTTGTCCACAGAATCCAGACTGTCTTGGGAAAATTACTCCTTGTTATGTGCTGTTTCTATAAAAAAGTTTATTTGCAGTTTGTATCCTATTAATCCTAGCCATTCACATTTTCTTTTCCTTGGAAGTACACTGAGAACAGTTCTTTTCAAAAGATTACCAGATTTAAAATAATAATAAAATAATGCATGAGTTTGCTTTTTTCCCCTAAACCTTCCAGTTAAATACTTTTAAGTACCCTGTTTCATTCTGGAGTTCTATTTCCCCTTAGAAAACAATGGACTTCTCTCAACAGTTTGAATCACCTTTTTTTTTTTTTTTTTTTTGGCATCTCTCAAAGGTTTAACTTATTAGCTTCCTTTCCAACAACATGTTGACATTTGAATTGTGACATATTAGAACTTTTCGGTGGCTTCTCGGAAATAGTGAGGTTAAAGAGACAATACCCTGCAAGACAGTAAAACGGTGCGATTGTCTCTATTGGGGAATACTACTTAGACACACGTCAGGTCATGATATCATTATTTCTTTGTAGTCCACTATTAATCATGTCTCTTTTAATTCCAGTTAATTTAGATTTACTGGATCCAATGTGAACAGTCCAAGAAACAAAAGAAAATGATGGATACACTGTAACTATATATTATAAAGACAATTCTCTTTGCCAAGACATAGATCACTACTGTAATTTCCCTTTAAGTGTCCAGATTGTCATGTGAAGAATATTGAGTACATAAAAAATAAAAGACACGGAAGAGTGTTGATGTTGGCTTTATTTACTGGAGGTAAAAGGTGACATTCCAAGCCATGAAAGGCAAAGAAAAGCAGAGTGGATTTTAACTTCAGGGTGTTCTTTTCAATTTTAAGTGAGTTTTTATGGTGCTCATGAAACTGAGGTTTGAAAAGAACTGGCAAGCACCAGACATAATGAGGGCAGATTCTGGGCATGCTTCCTCATATGGCAATAAGAATGTCCCTCGAAGTTCCATTTGCCACACCCTAACAAACCTAGTCCTTTTCTCAAGGTGTTTCTACCACTTGATCTTCATTATCTCTCATCCCTTAGGATTTTAGGGACACTTGAGCAAAGTTGTTTTCCTCTTCTAACTACAATGGCCCAAAAGTAGAATTTGAATACTTGGATCTAGAGATGTCTACATATAAATTTAATTTACTTTCTAATAATATCCATGGTATGCCAGCAGGCATTTGAGAAATGACAGGAGTAATTTAAACCAAAACAAAATGACAATTTGTCGCCTTGAAACAATATTGTGGGGAAATGATGGGATGACATCTTAGAGGAATCAGGCTTTTTAGAAAATATACTTTTATGTTATAAAATAGATCTTTCAGCAAATAAAAATGCAACAACAAGGTGATTTATATAGATTTTCTCACATATTTGTATATAGTAAGTATGCTTGACCAGGCTTACAAAAATACAGTTATAATGTCTTTAAAATGAGTGTATTCTCAATGTCTCAACTATGTTGCAGTCCAGTGAATTATATATCATCTGTATTACATGCCAGAAGCAGAAACACTACTAATATAATGCTCTCATTTTTGTGTTGGGGAAAAACGGGAGTCAATCTGTTAAGTTCCATAACATGGTTAATAATGGGTCTTCTCTCCTATCGGGGTTTTGTGTAAAAAGTTCTCTGGATCCAAAATAAAAATATCCTGGATCTGAAAGTTTGTAATGATGAATATACCTCAAATATATAAAGAGAGGCTCAAGAATCTTCAACACTTAGAAAAAGTTTGAATTAATATGAAAAGGTTGTTCATTTATTATTTTTGTTCTCTCTCTCTCTCAGAATGTTCTATTAGAAGAAAAAACTCAATTCATCCCAGTACAAGGTGTAAGATAAGAGGACTGGGGTCTTATATTGTAAAGAAATAGATTATATGGAAATTCCATTTTTTAAAAAAGTAATAAGAAATATTTTAAAACCGTGTTAGCTCTTCCAAAATTTTCTATTTGGTAGCTAATACCAAAATCCAGAAGCACAACATGTTATGAACATAACCTAACTCCCATACACATTGAACTTTTGCCAGTTGAGATGGTTTTTTCATTTTATTACATAAAAAATTAAATTTTCTCAGTATCTTGCTAGACTCTTGTATTTTTCAATAAAGTAATATTTATACCTTTGTAAGTATGAATATTATATTTGGATCCCTGGATACTTCGATTTATAAGAAAAATTTTTATAGTAAATGTTTCAGTAACAGATTTCTTAATGTTTTTTTTTTAATTTGTTGAAATAGTACACTAGTGAAATTTCTAAATGTTTCTTTGAAATTCTAAATTATTCAAGTAGTTGAAAAGTAAAACTAGAAATCCAAAATTGTTCAGTTTTACCACTGGTAAAACCCACAACTCAAGGCACAAATATAATATTATACATATGTAGAGAAATTAAATGCCCTACACGGAATTATTATAATTAATTTATTTTAATCAAACCCTGGAAGCAGTTCCAAATGCAAAGAGAATATCTGTTCAGTTAATACTCACAAGGCTAAGTTAAGTATAAAAGGCAGTGGTGATATGAAATTGATTTAGCAAAATTTAGACTTCCAAATTGTACATTTTCATGTGGTATTATTTATAAATATAAACATGCTTATATATATATTATAATTTGACATAAATATGGCAAAGTATATGTTTTGAATAAGTTTTTAAATTTGCACATTAGTAATCTCATATTTTATATATTTAAAATTATATATAATAAGAACAAAAGCTTCATGGCACATGATTAAGTCTTATTATATATCATACAAGTTTTATGTAATTATATATTATGTTTTACAAATTTTATATATACTTGGAATTAGAATTAATCATATATCATTACTCATTTTATTTGGTTAAGTCCAAGAGGACAGCAGTAAAGCAAGTATAGAACTCGTAAGCATTTTGATAGGAATATTAACTTTCCGTATAACTGT